TTGGCTGCAGCACAAATTAGCAAAACTAAAATGCCAAACTTCATAGACTTCCCAATAGAGTGACTTAATAGCAAAATGGCTCTGCCTCTTGGGATTTTTCATTTTTTCTGTCTAAATATACAGGAGAAAGCATCCTGGTATTTTTAAAAAAATACTTTGGAATGCTCATTTTATATATTAGGTAGGTTGATGATTGTAATAATCATAACAAATAATTTTGAGCTATTCCTATGTCCCAAGCAATGTTCAAAGGACTTCACACTTTTTAAGTCGTTTCATGTCAGTTCCACAAGGGTTAGAGTGTTCGGCTGCTCTGTTCCCAGCCATATCCTGGGAGTCGCGCCCGGAGTCTTGCTTGGCGGCTGCTCGGTGCCCAGCCGGCACTTGATGACTGAACCCAAGTGCGTCTTCACAGCCCCATGCGTGGAGGCGCCATTCCGTCCGTTGTGTGGGTGCTTGTACAGTCAGAGGCCCATCCCACTGTCTCTGGGAGCCTCACATTGGCGGGCAGCAAGCTTCCACGGAGACCAAGACCTTAACCCCTAGGGTCAGTCTTAGAACCATTTGGAGCACTGTTATGTAAGGAATGTTGAGGTTCAGATTGCATCTTCTCACAGCCTGAAGGTTTTCATTCTTTTGATGACGCATCACCCATTCATTCAACAAATACTTACCGAGCATTTACACATGCGCCGCATTGTTCTCGGCATGGAGGGTATAGCATCGAAGGCGAAAATGCCGTACCTGCCCCCATAGAGAGAGAGAAACAAACAGGACAATTTCAGGTAGAGACGAGTGCATGAAGACGAAAAAAGAGGTGATGGGACAGAGCATAATGGGGAAAAATGCATCATTTTACAGTTGGGGACGGGGAGGCCGAGGAGGCAACATTTGTTCAAGGCCTGCGTGACAGGGAAGAGCCAGTGCTGAGGACAGAGCGTCACGGGCGGAAGGCGCGGCAGGTGCCAAGGTCCTGGCGGTGGGACTGTGCTTGCTGCGTTCCAGGAGCAGCAAGAAGGGTACCAGGCGGGGCACGGGGAGCAGAGGACAATGACGGAAGATGAGATGAGAGGTGGGGGGCTAGACACGGAGGGCCTTGTTGGCCACAGCGGCAGCCAGGAGCGGTGCGCCTGGATGTCCCCTGAAGAGTGAACCTGCCACAGAACTGCAGTTAGGTGACAGCCTCTAGCAGGAGCTCGTGGGGGATCAGCCAGTGTTCAAATACGGGACGCCCCCTTCCCAGGCAGCCCCAGCCAAGGACTGAATATGGTGGGGAGGCTCAGGCCGGACCCCTCGGCTCCATGTGCGGCTCTGCTGGCGGGCCGCCCACTGGACTGGCCTAGACTGCATGGTATCGGTTCTCCAGACGTGTATCTGTGTGCATGTATACCTATGCATCTGTTCCTATAGACATACAGGGGTCAGTAAATAAATAAAGAGGCTTTATTCCAAGGCACTGGCTCATGTGATCGTGGGGTCTGAAACGTCCTCCGACCTGCCGCCTGCGAGCTGGACGTCCAGCAAAGCCGGGGGCGCCGAGTCTGGTCCCGTCCGGAGGACTCTGTTCACCTTTCTGTCCCATTCGGCCTCTGCACGGACTGGATGAGGCGCAGCCACGTGGGGTGGGGGGGGCGCCTGCTTCACTCAGTCCGCCAACACGAATGCTGGTCCCTTCCAGAAGCACCCGCACACACCCCCAGGAATAATGTTTAACCAGGTCCCTGGCCACTCTGTGGCCCCGTCAAGTGACTGTAAAAGGAACCGTGACAAGCGCCGGTCTCCGAGGCCTTTCCTTCCCTGTGCGCCTCCCTTTCCCAGGTGTCAGGTGTGCGTGGCGTCCCGGAGGCTTCGGCTGCGACGCCTCCCAGTCCTGCCCCCCTGCCGTTTCCACAGGTGTTACCCCCAAGAGGTCTTGCCTTTCTAATCCCACCTGGCGTCTCTCCCCAAGAGGAGCCACCCTGACAGGGATCCTGCAGGTGGCCTGAGCAAGCAGGTGATAAGATGGGGGCTGGGACTGGCTTAGGGGTGAGCACAGGTGTCTGTGTGGCACTGTGTCCCCAGAAAGGAAGAATCAAAGGGTTCAGGAGCCAAGGGACAGAAGTAGAAGCGTGCCACTGATTATCACTCCTAATGGCCCAGTGGGGACTTGACCTCCCCTTCCTGGACCTGAGGGGAGCGGACCCTTTCTGTGGACACAAAACTGGTCCTGGTGAACTACAAGCCATGACCGCCAGCAGCGCCCTTTGGACTCCTTGTCTTCAGGAACCAGCAGGGAACAGAGGGAGTCTCTACCTCGGCAGGGAAATCGGCCCTGCTTGGCAGAAGGGTGAGGTGCGAGGCATCTTCTCGAAACTGTGTAAGGGCACTGCCTTTCGGTGACAGCGGAAGTCACCAGACCCCACACTGCCTGGCCCGGGGTCACCTGTCTCACCTCCTTCCACTTTCCCTCCCTACCCTGCTCACGCTACTCTGGCCACACCGGGCTCTCTGCCGTTTGGGAACACACAAGTCGCCGCCAGGCGTGGGGGCTTTCTCCTGGCTTTCCTTAGATAGACGAGGTAAGACCAGCCGAGGGACCGCTCAAGGGAGCTGGAGGGTGGGGAAAATTCTGGATTAAATGGCCCTAAGTATGCAGAGTTGATGCTCAGCTGTACCTTTAACTTTAATTCCTACCACGGGCCTCCTCGCTTAGGAATTTCTCATCAGGTTTTTCCAAGTGACCAGCAAGTAACTACGTAGTGGATTGAGAGAGAAGGCTGAAGCTTGCTGGAGAACTGACAATGGTTGCTAATAGCAGCAGACATTTTTGAGGTATCGTGAAACGCTAAGCCTGCACATACTTTATCTCATTTAATCCTCATAAAATCTCCAAGGAGGTGCGAGTATAATGTCCATGTCACAAGTGAAGAGAGAGAGGCTCAGAAGGTGAAGTAGTTTGCCCAGGTCCTATACCTCTTGCTGGTGGCCGGTTTTTAACACAGCTCTTTCTGTGTCTAAAATCTGTATTATTTTCTCAACAATTTGCTTCCCTTTATGAGAAAGAGAGCACAATTGCTGCCATTCATCCATGTATCTGTTAATTCCATCATTGGACACTGAGTATTTAATATGTTTCAGGTCTTGCCCCAAGTTTTTTTGCTGACTCGGGAGAACGAACAGGCAGGGTCCTTGTGTTCGCAGAGCTTGTGGCCTCGCAGCGGAGCGGACCCCTCACTGAAGGAGTTCAGGTCTCAGGTGGGAGCGCATGGCAGGTGCTGACACTGAGCTTATGCAAAGAGACTAACAAAGACCATCTTTGACCTAGACTCTAGAATCTATGGTAAATACATAAAATTTGGGTTAAAGCATTGACCTTTTAGCCTCACCGATTGTAAAGTGAGTATATATGGTAATTGTAGGTTTCTTGCCAAGTGGCTGTGATCTCAAGTGAGAAACCGTGTGAAAGCTCTCGGCAAACTGTAAAATAGTCAGTATGCAGAAAACATTTAAAAACTTTTTTCATTTTTTAAAAATTCAGGTATAATTGATATATAACATTATATTAGACTTAGGTGTACAAGGTAATGATTCTGTATTTGTGTATATCGCAAAATGATTGCCACCAGATTTTTCTTTATATCAAAAAATGCAGCCCTGGCTGGTGTGGCTCAGTGGATTGAGCATCTGCCTGTGAACCACGCCTGGGTTGCAGACCAGGTCCCCAGTAGGGGACGTGCAAGAGGCAACCAAACATTGATGTTTCTCTTCCTCTCTTTCTCCTTCCCTTCCCGTCTAAAAAAAAAAAAAAATCTATTTAAAATTTCAAACACAAACTACAAAAAGTAATACAATAAACACTCAACTACCCATAAATGAGCTTCAACAACAATCAACTCATGGCCAATTGTGTTTCATTTCTAGCCAACCTCCATATCACCCATATTTTGAGAAGCAAATCCTTGAGAGCATAGCATATATTTTTATCCATATATGTATATATTTCAATTCCTATATCTCAAAGAGATTCCTTAAAAAAAAAACAACCCTGTCACTCTTAAAAACTAAACAAAATTGATGGTAATCCTTAATTTTATCGAATATCTTAATTTGAATCAGTGGTTACATTTTCCTGATTATCCTAAAAATGTTGAGGTCAGTAGGTTTGAACCAGCGTTACAGAAGGTTCATACACTGCAGATGGCTGAGATGTTTTTAATCTATGCATTTCCACCTTCATCTTTTGTTTCCATCTTGCTTCCCTCCCCCCACCCTGAAAAAACGGGATTCTATAAAGCAGCGGTTCTCAGACTTCAGCGGGCACCAGCGTGATTAGAATCACCTGGAGGACCCGCTGAAGGTCCTGTCCCGGAGATCCTGAGATGTGCATTTCTCACCTGCTCCCAGGTGCTCCTGCTGGTCCGGGGCCGCGCTTTGCAAGTCCCTGTTGTCCCATCCCACAGTCAGGATTCCTCTAACTGTGTCCCTCGGTGACGTGGCCTTCCACGTTGTCATCTTCCCTGCTCCTGTTCGGGGAAGCTTATCTAACTGCCAACAGTGAAGCATGGTGGTTACAACTCAGGACTTGGGAGTTTTATGTTAGAGACCCCGAGACTCTGTGCGGCGGGGTTTCAATCTCATTTTGGCACTTCTTTGCATTGTGACTTTGGGCAAGTCACTCAATTGCTCTGTGTACCCAAGATGACAGGGTGGTTGTGGGGATTACATGCGTTTTCAAAAAGTGAAGGGCTTCCTTGGCATGGTGCCTGGCACATAGCAAATACTAAATTTTGATCACAATGTTTTCAATCAAGAAATAATCGAGGGGCGCAGAGCCTGTGGAAGGCCAGGAGTTTTGTGGGGTTTTCTCCTCTTACTACGTCAGCAGAGCCTGGGAGGAGCGCAGCCAAATAATGGTCCTCGGAGAGAGCCGGAGAGTGTAGGAAAGTCACGTCCACTGTGTGTCTGCCCACGGCTCGGCCCCTTTAAGAAGGGAGGGGCCACGTGACCCGTAAGGTCACATGGCTCGCGGGACAAGATGGCTGCGCCCGCGCTGGGGTCGCCTGGTGGGCGTCGCGCCGCGCTCGCGCTAGTGGTTTTGCTGCCACTGCTCGTGCTGCGCGGCGGGGCGGCAGCGGGCGAAGAGGCCGGCGCGGGCGCGGGCTCGTGCGGCTGCGGCGCCCCCCAGAGGCCCGGGGCCGCGGGCAGCTCGGCGGCCGCGCACCGGTACTCGCGGGAGGCGAACGCCCCGGGCCCCGGCCCCGGACAGCGGCCGCCCGCGCCCGCCAAGGTGCGCTCTCGGTCCCCAGGGGGTAGGGGGCGGAGGGCGGGGGGCGCCCCGCGGTGCTGCAGGGTCGGCCTGGGCCGGGCCAGGGGTTGGCAGGAAGGCGGGTCAAGGTGACATCCACTCCCCAAGGCGCGCGCCTGCCGATCCGGTCCGACGACGAGTCCTCCCTCCGGGCCCCCGCACGCCCCGGCGTCCTCCTTGAGCGCGGGGCAGTTCGCCTGCAGGACAGTTGTCCCCTTCTTACCTCTCACCTTCCATGTTCTCCCCCCTTCCCCGTGCCCTATTAACGAATTCTCAGACTGCCAAGTCGCGTGGGCCGGGGTTGAAATCGGGGCTCCGTGACTCTGACACTGCCTCGTGCTTACCGCAGCGTCTTCCAGAAGACTGCGCTTCTGGAGGGCAGGACGTGTCGCGTTGTCCTGTGGCCCGTGGCGTTTCCCGCAGGGGCAGGACTGCGTCTACAGCAGGTGCTTTCTTACTGTTCCTGATGTGGGTTATGATCCCGCACGTGTTAGGTGTTAGGAGATGGCAACAACATTAATGACGATTGCTTCCTTCCCGCCATGGGATGTGCCAGGGACTTGGCGCATCGACAGGGCTGTGGGGACAGCTTCTGGGACTAGGACCCGGGTCCTCTGACTCCTGGAGAAGTGCGCCTTCCTGTTTCCTCGGGGCTGCACCCTCTCTCCGTTTTCCATCCCGCTCTTCTTTCCTCTGGGCTGATACGGATTTTCGGGCCTTCCCTGGCCTTCCCCGTTCCTTCCGTAGTTGCACAGGGCCTCCTCTGAGCTAACAAGTGTTTAAAAGTGCTTGTCTGTTAGTGTCTCTCCCCAGCCAGGCAGTGGGGGCACTGGCCTCAGGACCCTAATTTTGTGTCTCAGGTGTAGAGTGTTAGGAGGGTGGTAGCTTCTGTTTGTTCCCCGTCCTGTATAATTGTTGACATTTAAAATTTTTGGGTTCCCCGGAGGATGACTTGCTTTATTATGTTTGTCTTTTGTGGGGTGGGGAGCTCTGGCTGCTGCTGAGTGTATGTTGCCATAGTTGATTTCAGTTCCCCTCTCACGGGCAGGACATGTAATCAGTTTCTCCCTCCTCAAGAAGCCCCGTGTCTGTTTACTTGCCTTGTGACCAGCAGCATGGCTCTCTCATTTGCACGTACACATTGGTCTGTCTCAAAATTTCGCCTAGAACCTTCTGGCCAGTATGGAACATTCCTGATTTAAGTGCTCCAACCCCTTGTTGGTTCCACGTTTATAAGATACACATTTTTCATCTCTTGGGAGTGGTTTTGTGTCCCGACTGAGGGTACTGCGTCTGTTTTCCTTGGTTTCAGATATTCCAGTTCATGTGCAGATGGCTTGGGCCTCATTCTGACTCAGCCATTTTTTTTCCTACATTCAGAAAGCACAGTATTACAGGACAGGTGCATGGTTGTATTGATAGCCCTTTTTTTCTTTCTTTTTCTTTGAAGGCTTTTTTTCCAAGCAGTTTGAGGTTCACAACAAAATTGAAAGGAAGGTACAACCATTTCGCACGTACACCCTGTCCCCACACAGGCTATCAACAGCAGAGGCTACCAGGAGGGTGCCCGGTGCAATCGGTGAACCGGCACTGACCCATCACGATTACCCCAAGGCCACAGTTGTCTTTATGGTTCCCTCCTAGTGTTTCGCAGTCTGTGGGCTTGGGCCGTGTCTATCAGTCGTTACGGTATCACACAAAGTCTCTTCGCTGCCTTAAAAGTCTCCTGTGATCCACCTATTTTCCCCTCCCTATCCTCCCCACTGCCAACTGCTGGTGGGACTTCTGTCTCCATAGTTTTGCCCTTTCCAGAATGTTGTATAATTGGAACCTCACAGTGTGCAGCCTTTTCCCGTTGGTTTCTTCTGCTTAGTAACCTGAATTTAAAGTTCCTCCATGTCTCTTCATACCTTGTTCGCCCATTTCTTTTTGGTGCTGAATAATCCCGCAGTTTATTCCTTTACCTGTGGAAGGCATCTTGCTTCGAAGTTTGGCCAGTTATGAGTAAAGCTGCCATCAGCATCCGCACACAGGTTTCTGTGTGGACTAACGTTTCCAGCTCCTTAGGGGAAGCACCATGGAGCCTGATCGCAGACCAAATGGCAAGAGCGCGCTTGGTGAGTTGAGAAACTGCTAAACTGACTTGCAGAGCGGCTTGGTGTGTTGCCCTCGAACTAGCAGCTCGGGAGAGCTCCTGTCGCTTCGCCCCTCGCTGGCATTGGATGGTGGCCGCGCCCCGGATTGGGGCACCTCTAACAGGTGTGAAGTGATACGTCATTGCTTTAATTTGCATTGGTTGACATGGTGTGGAGGTTCTTTGCCATCTGTAAGGTGAGGTGTTAATTATTAAGTCCTTGGCTGTTGTTAAAACCGCATCGCTTGTTTTCTTACTGTTGCGTTTTAAGAGCTCACTGTGTGCTTTGGGTAGCAGTCCTTTACCAGATGTGTCTTCTGCACGTATTTTTTTTCCCAGTCTGCGACCGGTCTTCTCATTCTCTTGATACTGTCTTTCGAAAGAAGTTTTAATGAAGTCCAGCTTTGCAATGTCTTTCGGGGATGGTGCCTTTGATATCTTATCTACAAAGCCGTCTCTATGCCCAGAGTCCTCTAGCTTCTCTCCTGTGTTATCTTCTAGGAGTTTTACAGTTTTGTGCTTTATGTTCAGGGTTACGGTCCGTACTGAGTTAATTTCTGGGAAGGGCGTGAGGGCTGTGTCTAGACTCATGTTTTTGCGTGTGGATGTCCAGTTGCTCCAGCAGCATTTGTTGAGGAGGCTCCCTTTGCTCCACTGTATTGCTTGTTTGTTGTTGTTATTTTGTCGAAGATCAATTGACTGTACTTACGTGGGTCTCTTTCCGGGTGCTCTACTCCTCCGCCCCACCAGCCTGTGGGTTCTCGCTCCCACACCACGCTGCTGCGGTCGCTGCGGCTGCCCGGTGAGCCCTCCTCCCCCTTCACTGCTGTGCTGGCCCTTCTGGGTCTTTGCCTCCATGTGAACTTCAGAGTCCGTGTGTTGGTCTCCAGGAAGTAACTTTCTGGAATTTTGATTGGGGTTGTATTGAATTTATTTTTTCTTCTGTTTATTTAGCTTAATGCAACAGGTGTGTATTTGGCACACACGTAAGTGTCCTATGTCCTGTCCTGGGCGTAAAGGCAGCCGGAAGCCGCCTGCCATTTGCCCTCTGGTAGGTCGCCTCCCCTCCCCCCGCCCCGCTGACATGGAAGCCCCCCTGTCCCAGGGTGGCAGCGCCGTATGAGGAGGGTGTACAGGGCACTGGGAGAGGAGGAAAGCGCTCGCGTCTTCCTGGGTCCACCCGGATGTGCCTCAAAGAAAGGTCACGCTTGAGCTAGGCCTTGGAGAGGACATGCCCCCGAACCAGGGGTGGCTGAGCCGGTTGGAGGACATTCCAAGGAGGAGACTGGATGGGCACGAAGCAGGCGCAAGTGCACGGTGTGCTCCGGGCAAAGGAGGCGCGTGTGGTTTCGGGGGCGGGGGCGGTGCCTGCGTGTGTGTGTGTGTGTGTGTGTGTGTGTGTGTGTGTGAGAGAGATACTTGTCACACTTTTCAATGTAACACTTTTCAGGTGTGTCTTTTTTTTTTGTAGGTTAATTTATTTAATGAGCACTTGGCAAGATGAGGAACACAAAGAAATAGAGGGAGTTTTACCCTCCCGGAATTTACAGATTCACTGGAAAGTTAGGGCAGTACAAGTTGGCTGGGAAACAATGTAGATACTTTAAAATTTTAATTAAGTTCTCTCTTGTTAAAAAATAAACAATTCTCATTGAGGAAAGGATCCTAACAATGTCCTGCGCAGCTTACTATTTTGTGACAAGGTATCAATGCGTAATCTCCATGTGTTTTTCAGAACCGTTGTTTGACAGGCATTTAGAGTCATGGATGGGAACGCTGTGTGCGGCGTCTCTGTCCGCTGGGGTGAGTTCCGTCCCGGTTTCCCACCCGACGTGTCGAGGCGGGACGGGGCGCCGGCTCTTCACGCAGCCTTCCCGCCGGGAAGGAGAACCGGCACTGCCGTCCTCTGCGGCTCCGTAGCATTTGGTTGTCATTTGATGGCGACTCGAGCCTCCTCTTTAATGTGTCGTTTGCATAGTCACGTGGTATCTTAGTCTATGTGGGAAGTGCTTTCAGACCTGTTTTAATCTCTGTGTCCTCCACATGCCTTACATATTTTAGGCTTTCTGTAACAATTCCTTGAACGATTTGTGACCTTTTTTGATGGATACAATATCAGGTACTTTTAAAAGAAACCTTTGTAAAATACTCTTTTGTTGTAGCTCACCCCCCAACCCCCCAAGCTTCCAGTGAGAGATTAGTGCCCCCTCCCAGCTGCAGCAACTGAGGCTTCGCGGGTTACGAAGGCCAGGGCTGGAGGAGCGTGTAAAACCAATCCAGGCGTGACTGGGGCCTGCGCGGGCGGCGGAGGGAGGGGTGGCACAGGGAAGGGGAGCCTGTGTGGGCAGGCGAGGCCGCGGGGCGTGGACGGGGGGCGGTGCTGCTCCTGTTCGTCACTGGCTGTCCCCTGAGCACTCAGTTTTCAGGTGAGGGTTTGAGGATGGGAAGGACAAACAGGGAGAGGAGTTACATAAAAGGCTTGCAGATAAATGTGCCTAAGATAAATGGATAAATTCCATTTTTGTGCCTAAGACAAAAATATCAGAAGCAAAGTGCAAGAAAAGAAAAAATGGCTCCCGCAGAAACAAAGGCAGAAGAGGGGACCCTAGGGGGCTCTGTCGTGGGGTTCGGGAGTGGACCTGCTGCAGACACAGCTGGGGGCAGGGCCTTGGGTGGCCCCTCCGGGCCTCTCTTGGCTCTCACCTGCATTGGCTTTGTGTTCAGGTGATGTCCCTTCTCCTGATTAAACAGCTGGCAGAGAGGGGGGGGGGGAGAGGGAGAGAGAGAGAGAGAGAGAGACAGGCATCCCCTTCCCTCATGGCCCCTTGTAGCAGAAGTGCTGAGACTCCCTCTGACCGGGGTGCGGGCCTGGCCTTGTCGCAGCTGTGGTGAGCAGGATGCGGTGATGGGCCGGGCCTGGCCCCCCGAGGTGGCACCAAGCCGCCACCTGAGCCGTAGCTGGAGCCGTGGTTTCCCAAGGGTGTCCGGGGCCATTTGGAAGATCAAGGGGGAACAGGTGCCAGGTGAAGAGAAAGGGCAGGTGCCACTGCACTTGGCCAGAGCGTGTGGTCCAAACAAGGCTGCAGTTATTCTTGACGCCCCTGAGGCTCTGGCGTGAGTGGCGAGAGCAGAAACTGGGGCAGCAGAGGGGCTCTAACGCGCCCTCGGGGAGGCAGGGATCCTCAGGGCCTGGGCCTTCGGTGAAGGCTTGGTGCCGGGGGTTCTTTTCGCTTGGCGTCGGGTCGGTCCGACAGAGCGACACGCCTGGCGCTCTGGGCTCAGCAGAAGGACGTCTTACGTTTGTGGGACAGAGCACTTCATCGGTGTGCCCTGGAAATTGGGATCCACTCGGAGCAGTCAGGCTATTTTTACCTGTAGCCTCCAGAATGGAAACTTGGCCTGTTCGGGGCCGGCACTCTCTGGTGGTTTTGATGAAAGAAAGAAAGAAATGAGGCCAGGAGTCCACAGTGGGAGTCGTGACTGGCTTTGCCCGTGGGTGCTCACCTTGAGGGAGAGGAGGTGGGGAATGAGGTCCTTGTCCGACTCCATCAGGCTCAGTGGGTGGGGCCCCCGCGGCTCGTCTCCTCGCCGAGGGATGGCCAGTGTCCCCGGAGCAGGCCCTGCGAGGCTGCGGCAGAGGCTCTTTTCCCTCAAAGCCCCGCGTGAGGCCTTTCATCAGCTCATGCTAATCATCATGTAACCACGCGGGAAGCTTTTGTCTGAAGCCTTCTGCCCATCCGCGGCTTTGCAGCGCTGCGTGAGGCTCTGACCCCGCTTCTGAGGGCGGCGCCGGCTGGGTCCCGGACCCCCGGGGAGGTGGCGCGCGTGCCGTGTGGCCCTGGTTCGGGCTCCGCGCCGAGCGGGGGGCGGGGGGGCGGACTCCCCTGTGCAGACGGGCCGTCCCTGCCTGGGGCCGCGCTGGAGGAGAAATGGAGTTTTCATAATCGTTTTGAATGATTCACATGATAAAGTCTCCATTATATTCACGATCTCTCTTGTTCAGTCAATAAAGCTTTTTTTGTTGTTGGTTTTTTTCCAGTGTCTGCTGTGAACTGTGCGCCATGACAGGCACAGAGATAGAAACATGAAAACTTTACTTCTGGTTCCCAGGGAACCTGGGAGCTCGGGCAGGTGAAAACACGTTGCTAATATACTGTGTGTGTCGCTTGTTAGGACAGACAGAGATTTGCAGAGCCCACAGGAGGGGCGTGTGTCCCAGCCAGGAGGGAGGTGGCTCGTGGCCACAGGCGCAGTTTACAGAGATGGGGAGCAGTGGCCTTTCTTCAGGTGAGGCGGTGAGAAGGCAGGAGGTGACGTTTGTTTTTGTCTGGCCCTGAGGGGGCGCTTGGGGAATTGAAATAGGAAAGTAGTAGTAGTGTGACCACAGTGACACTTTATCGTGTTGTTTCTCTTTGAGTACTCAGTACATTTGCATGGTTTAGGAAGAAAGACCCTAATGTAGACGGGAGCACAGTGTGACGTGTTCTGCTTGCCTAATACCGTCCCCTCAAGCGACCACCATAGGAGGCTGTGGTGAGCCCCCCCAGGGCTGCGTCTGCAATCGAGGCACGTCCGACGCTGTGCGGCTCTGCACCTCTCTTACCCCTTTGCGCGCAGGGAGAGTGCGCCATGCTTGCTGCCCGCGCCGCGCTTTGTTCACCTAGCACTTTATCTTGGTGCGCGCTCTCCATACAGCACATCCAAGCCCCCTTGTTTCCATCGTGTTTTCTTAAAGCCGCTTAGTTTCCCACTTATGGATGGCCCACCGTTCACTTAACCGGTCCATGACTGATGAACATTGAGGTTGTTTGTAATCTTTTCTTTGCTGTTACAAACCGCTGTGGTCCACGGCATCCGGTAGAGAAGACTGGCGTTTCAGGAAGCTGAGGGGCTCCTGTGTGCCTGGGATGGAGGAGGGAGTGGAGGGTTGTCGCTCAGGAGCAAGGACTGCGCCGGGACAGGGAGGCCGCGGCGAGGCCACCACAGTGTCTGGGAACAGAGAAGAGGGAGAGGCTGGAGGGCGGACATCTGGGCGGTCCAGTCGGACGGGTGCCCTCTCTCATGCTGGGGTTGGGGGGCGGGAGAAGTCAGGCGTCACTGCTTCTCAGGAGGGGGAACAGGACATTTGTTACCTGCGTGACGCCGGCGAACATGGCTCCCTGCTCATTGGGAAGCGCAGGGGCAGTGTCAGCGGTGGTCACCGACAAAGGCGGTGGGAACACAGAGGAGGAGCTGGTGGCTGTTGAAGGGGCCCGAGTAATTGCAGTTAGAGTCTCAATGAGGAATTAAGGACAAAGACGTAAGAAGGACAAGGTGTGCTTCCTTAGAATTGCCTTGGATTTTCCGTGGCGTTGGTTTAAGACTTTTCCGTTTTCGCTGGAGGCCCTCAGCCCTTCAGTGGGTTTTAAAAGACATTGCACGGGCGTTTCCACCCTTTGTTTGAGCAGTAATGCAAAGGCACCGGTGCCGCAGAGGGAAGGAGCGGCCGGTGTCCCAGCCCCGCCCGCGGCGCCGAGCCCGCTGGTGGCTGTTGTCAGGCCTTCTTCCCTGGCGCTTGCGTCTGTGTCTTGTGGCGTTTTGACTAAAGACACCACTTTTCTGAAGGATTTTGCACTTTTTTGTGACTGGCCCTTTGCTTTCTTCGGGGCGATGTGACTCGTTGGACAGCGATTTCCGCGTGGGGGCTGCTGGCTCCCGGGTGCTTACCGTGGGCCGGGCGCGCCACTGTCAGGCAGGTCCATGCTCACGGCCGGGCCCCGCGTCTCCCCTCACCCTGCAGATGGTCCCCATCCCTGCCGGCGTGTTTACGATGGGCACAGATGACCCTCAGATCAAGCAGGACGGGGAAGCGCCCGCGCGGAGAGTCACCCTGGATGCCTTTTACATGGACGCCTACGAAGTCAGTAACGCGGACTTCGAGAAGTTCGTGAACGCCACCGGCTACCTGACAGAGGTAACGGGCCAGGTGGGGAGGGAAAGCGGCTCTGCAGCGCCCCCTGCTGCGCGCCCACAGGAGCTGCGCACTTTGCTCGTAGAGCATCTCATTTAGGTCTCCCAGCACCACCCTGGGGCAGGAGACTATCTAGGTAGAAAACCGAGGGTCGGGAAGGGGGCGCCCTGGGCGCAGGGCTGGGGGGCGGGGAGCGGGGCCGGCCTGGCAGTGCGGCCGCTCAGCGTTCACCCATCTGCTCTGTTGCGTTAGTGCTTTAAAGGCCCACAGCGCCGCCGCCAGATGCAGGGATGCAGCTTCTCACTTTTCTGGTTTTGCCCCAGTGCCCGAGGGCGCGTAGCGGCCAGTGGCGGGCAGTGACAGCCCCTGTGGCGGCCACCGGACCCCAAGGCCTGGCCCCGGAGGTGGGCGTGTGTTCTCACGGCCGGGAGGAGAGCGGCCGAGCAGCCTGCGAGAGTCTTGGAGGGCGCTGTCCTCGCTCGCTCCTAGGCCGCCCCCTCCTCTCGCCCAGGCTGTGCCCTGGCCCCATCCAGGGAGTCCCTGGCCTTCCTCCTCCCCCAAACCCAAGACATCTTTTTTTTTTATTAAAGAAAATAACTTGAGAGTGAACGCTGAGAGCAGAACAGCACCGGAGTTGGTTCCGTGTGGCCACATTCCTGAGGGATTCCCTAACGTGTGCACAGGGGTGCCCCCTCATGCCTTTGTGCCCCGCGGCAAGCGGGGTCCCTGTCCTTCCCGCCTCCCAAGGGCGCCCTCAGGTCAAGTTCGTCCGCGGTCTGAGCCCGCCAGCAGGCGGCTTCCCCGCGAGGGTTGGACGCACAGAGTGCAGGGCGTCCAGGAACGCGGCTGGGGATCGCATCCGGGTCGCTCTGCCTCTCCCGACAGTCCGCGTCCCGGTCGCGAAGCGGACCGCCAGCCACAGCAGCAGCAGGACCCGGGCGCTTTCTGTCATCTGTTGTTGCAGACGCTGTGACCTCCCTTTAGAGGCGATAGTAATTGTGAGACCTGCTCCTGGCCGTTACTTAACACGTGGACAAAGAGCACTATCTATCGCCCTCACACATTGTTTAGTATTTTGATGTTGTAGTCGCGTTGATTGTGTGTCCTGCTGAGAAGGTGGCCCTCTCAGGGGCACCCGGGGCTCAGGAAGGGGCAGGGACGCGTGTTCTGGATAAAGCGCCCCCCCCGTGTGCCGCCCCGCAGTTCCTCCGCCGCCCACCCGCTCTGCGCCCCGCTGCCCTCGCCCCCAGGCCCTTGCCCTGCCGCTGCCACTCCTTCCCCCGGAAAGCCGGGTGCCCGCCCACCCCGGGGCCCACATTTCCCCTCCCGGGGACTCCCCGGCCCCTCGCCTGTCCCCCTTTGTGCACAGCTGGCCGCTTCTCCATGAGTCATCTCGGCTTAAGTGTCCCTTCTCACAGAGGCTTCCTCTGCTCAGGCTACCGAAAGGGGCCTTGTCTCCATACCTTTTGCCTGACAAGGGCAAGTGAAGCAGTGATTGTTTTCTTTCCTTGTTTGCCTTGGTCTTTGTGCCCCCTGTGAGCACTGCAAGGATAGGGATGGCGTCTGTCCAAGGCTGACCTGTGCCTCCGTCAGTGAGCCCGAAGCTGGCCCATGAGGGGAGGTTTAGGCGGGCAGGCGTGGGGCACCCCGGGGACCCAGGAGGGGTGCAGGAGTCAGGGGAAGGCCTTCGGGGGGCTCACGAGGCCTGAAACGCAGGGCCCCGGGAGGCAGGCAGTGCCCGTGGGGACGGCGCTGGCCTGGAGGTGGAGGTGGAGAGCCGTCGACGCCCCGGCCTTGGTTGGAGTGAGGAGAAGGGGTGTCATCCCCTGGTGCGTGGGGTGTCCCGCAGGGTGGTCTCCTGGACGACTGTTCTCCCGTGCAGGTTCCTGGTCTCTCCCCAGCCTCCGGAACCAGGGGTGGGGAGCAGCGATCTCTGACAAGCCGGCCAGGCCCCCTCAGGGCAGCCAGCCTGCTAGGCCGCGGGCACAGCAAGAAGAGCAGCGCCGGGGGCAGCAGTGTGTGGGGGCTGGAGGGGGAGCCTGTGTGTGTCAGGGGGTGTGCAGGCAGTCAGACTGGGGGGCCAGGCAAGGGGCGCCCCGGAGGGCCAGGCCCGGGGCGGGTGTCTGCGGCCGGGGTCCCACGCACCTCAGAGCTGGGTGGCAGGGAGCGAAGGCTTGAGACAGTGATGCCAAACAAGGACGACGGAAATGCAGGCCTCCGCCTGGGGCCTGGCATCTATCAGCGCAGAGGGCACCTTGGTGGGGTTGGGAGGTGCCAAATGCCAGCGAACAATGCGATTTAATTCTTTCCGCTGGGCTCTGGGGCCAGAACAAGGACCGCAGCTGCTTACAAAGTCGCACGCGTGCAGCTGCTGTTATAGTGCAAAGTCACCTGTACGGCTTGGGGGGACGTCCTCCCTTCCTTCCCAGAAGCTGCTGTCTTCCCGTCTGCCCGCCTGTCGGCCGGGCGCGCAGACGTGGTCCCTGTGAGTGACAGTCACTCCTCTCACGGGAAGCCGCACGCTTTGGAGTCTTTTCTGACTCCCCTGGGAAGCCGTGAGAGCAGCCTAGGTCTGCCTGGACGGGAAGGGCCGCTCGGCAGTGCAGGAAGGTGGCACCGATGGAGCCCGTTAGCACGGCCTTTTCTGACTGTCACTCCTTGTCCTCGCAGGCGGAGCGGTTCGGCGACTCCTTTGTCTTCGAGGGTGTGCTGAGCGAGCGGGTGAAGACCGGCGTCCAGCAGGCAGTGAGTGGCGCTCAGCGGGCTCTCGGAACCCTCTGCTCCTCCACGGAGGGGCCCTGCACCCCCGCCCCTCCTCTCTAGTGGGGTGCCCGGAGGAGCCTGGGGCCCAGGACAGCGCCTGGCGTGCCGGGTCCGACTGGAGTGTCTGTCCCGGGCCCCTGAGTGATGCGTGGTGTGGCTGAGTGGGACTCAGCTGTGCCCTGGGCATTCCTGGCCATTTCCAGAGCGGGGGGGTTCACATGAACATTTTTAATCTCTGTCCTTAAGGTTATGATGTTGTCAGGGGTGTGGAGCTTCCTGTGTGATCGTGAACTCCCACCAGCGCAGTGCTGTTCTTCTGGGGAAACTGAGCCACAGGGCTGGCCCTTCCCGCTGGGCGTGCCCGCTGTCACGGGCCGGGGGTGTGGGGGTCCGGGAATGGGGATTGGGCCTGTGCTCTCAGAAATTGTGGGAGCAGCGGGCCACACCTCCGCCGGCTCCCGTGTGTGAGCTACTGCGTGTGAGCGGGACTTGGGGGTTCTGTGGGGACAGGTGGCAGGGCCGTGCACGGGTGAGTTTTCACACACCCCATGGGAAGGCAGAGAAGATGAGACAGAGGGAGAGCGGGTGAGCTGTGAAGCAGGGTGCTCACCAGATGGAGGCCCAGGGGGCTGGAGAGGGTGGGGGTGGCACCAAGAATGGAGTGGGTCAGCCCCGCGAGGGGGGTGATGGCGATGCGGGCGTCGGAGACGGGAGCCTGGCCCTGACCTCCGTCCTCTGCCCCGCGTTCCGTCCCGCTGTGTAAAAGTCGTCCGGTTTCCTTTTTTTTTTTTTTTTTTTTGCATGTTACTGTCCAGTTTTTTCAACACTGTTTATTGAAGAGACAGTCTTTGCCCCATTGTATATTCTTGCCTATTTTGTCATAGATTAATAGACCATGTAATCAAGGCTTTATTTCTGGGCTCTTTATTCTGTTTTATTAATATATAGATATATTTTTTTATTATTATTTTTATTCTCACCTGAGGATATGCTTACTGATTTCAGAGAGAGGGAAGGAAGAGAGAAAGAGAGGGAGAGAAACATCGATGTGAGAGGGAAATATCGATCAGTTGCCTCCTGCACAAGCCCCGAACGGGGACCTAACCCACAACCCGGGCATGTGCCCTGACTGGGAATCAAACGTAGGACCTTTTCATTTACAGGATAATGCTCTAACCAACTGTGCCACACCAGCCCGGGCTATATACCTGTTTTCATGCCAGTACCACACTGTTTTGATTATTGTAGTTTTGTAATCTAGCTTGATATCAGTGCCTGTGATACCTTCCACTTTGTTCTTTCTCAAGATTTGGAATCGTTTGTGGTTCCATGCAAATTTTAGGATTAGTTGTCCTAGTTCTGAGAAGAATGCCATTGGTATTTTAATAATTAGGATAGTATTGTATCTGTATATTGGTTTAGGTAGTAAGTACATTTTAACAATATTAATTCTTCAAACCTGTGAGTGTTAATCCTTCTAATCCTTTCATTTATTTGTATCCTCCTCAATTTAGTTCTTTTATTTCCTTTATGTCTTACAGTGTTCAGGGTACAATTTCTTCACCTATTTTGTTAAATTTATTCCTAGGTATTATGTTCTTTTTGATGCAATTGTAAATGAGGTTGTTTTCTTAATTTTTCCTGATTGTTTGTTATTGGGGTATAGAAACACAGCAAATTTCTGTATATTGATTTTGTATCCTGAAATTTTACTGAATTTATTTATTATAATAGTTTTTTGGTGGAGTCATTAGGGTTTTCTATATATAGTATCATGTCATCCGTAAATAACATAAGTTTTACATCTTCCTTTCCAATTTGAATGCCTTTTATTTATTTTTCTTGTCTGATTGCTGTGGCTGGGACTTCCAATACTACATAGAGCAGAAGTGGTGAGAGTGGGCATCCTTGTCTTGTTCCTGATTTTAGAGGAAAAGCTTCCAGTTTCCCACCATTGAGTACGATATTGGCTGTGGGTTTGTCATATGTGGCCTTTATTATGTTGTGGAATGTTCCCTCTATACCCACTTTGTTAAGAGTTTTTTATCATTTAGTCATTTTCACATTGAGCTGGCTTTTAGAGTTTGCTTGTGAAAATATCTGAAACTGTATTTAATGGTTTAAAAGAGAGGACACATGCCAGCTGAAATTCACTGAGTCGTGATACTCATTTTGATGCTCAGTTTGAAACAGGGGTCCCAAAAGGTATATATATTACATCCTAGAAGAGGGTAGGGCTGGGTTTCTTTGTTGTGTTGTTTTTGTTTGTTTTCGGATATTTTATCTTCTGTTGTTGAAGGGATGGTATTGAAAATACTTGTCTATAAAAACATGTTTTATTTTAATAACTATGTCATTAATCTGTCTCATACATTGGTGACAGGAGGCCTGGCCGTGGGGCGAGGAGAAAACAGCTGCTCTCGGGGGGGCCTGGGGTGCTAGCGTACCTCTCGGTTTGCAGAAGGGCGTTTTCTGAATTGTTAGAACAAGTTCCTGAATAGGAGTCCATGATAACGGAGGAAGGTAAACTATTTTGAGTCGTTCTTTTCAGCTGCAAAATTCTTCTCAACTTGGAGTGAGGAATCAGAATTACCAAGGCATTTCCTTGTTTTATTAAAGTTACAAGCAATTTCCAGACAGTCACACCTGCCTAAGGAGTGCTGGGAGCCTTGTCATTGGCTGGCGCCGCACCGGGGGCGGGGCGGGGGCGGGGCAGGGCGGGGCGGGGGAGGAGCAGCCGGCCCTCCCGCCCGCAGGGGGCCCTTGAGAAGTACGGGGTTCACTTCCCCGTGAGAAGGGCGTTGGGGCTCAGCCAAGCTCGGAGGTCACCGCCCTAAAGTAACTTCTAGAAAAGCTTTAGGGAGTTACCTACGGTGTAACCCAAGCCAGGAAGCGTTCGGAGGGCAAGGTCCAGGACACAGGAAAATGGAATGGAACAACTCAAAACGGGCCCCACGCGCGAATTGCTTGGTGTCATTTTGGATGTTGGAAGATTTGCTTTTCTAGTAGCTTGACCAGCATCTCCCTGAGCAGCCTCAGCTGAGCTTGAGGAAGTTTCTTTTGTTACATGACTGCGAAGACTTTTCTTTCTCACACTGATTTTGGGGCGTGCTTTTTTGGAGAGGCCACAAGGACAAGGTCACTCGGCCTTTTGGTCGGGGGCGGGGGCTTTGACTAGCACCCCTGCCAGCCGGTTTGGGGGAAGTCCCTCATTTTTGCTTCTCTTTTTCTTTTTTTAAACTTAGGTTGGATACTTAGCTTAAAACTTTTGAGTCTTCCTTTTTAATGCAAGCATAAAAGTCTACAGATTTTTTCCTGAGTGATCCCTTTGGTTCCACACATTTTGTAGTGTATTTCTATAAAATGTACTATATATCCTTACGCTGTGTATATATAGTTTACTACAGAGTTAACATTTTAACGCGTCAAACCAGTATAGACCCCTTACAAGCACATAGGTACCTTTGCCCGCGCTCTGGGTTATGGTTGTCATGTGTAGTGTGTCTGCAGACTCCGAAACGGTCCAAGTCAATGTTGTTGTTATTAGTATTTTTTTTTGCTTGTCTCACTCATACATTTTGTAAAATGTAAAGAGGAAAACCTTTATTGCGCTCCCCCCGCCGCTTCTGTCACTCGCCCCGTTCCCGGGGTCCCGTGTTCCCTCCGGTGTAATTTTTCTTCAGCCTGAAACGCTCGCGTCAGAGCGGGTCTCGTGTTAAGGACTTCCCTTGGTTTCTCTTCCCTGAGAAGGTGTCTGTCTCCCGCCTTCCTGAACGGTGTCTGTGCTGGGGACAGAGTTTTGGGTTGACAGCTTTCCCTCTATCACTTCACGTCCGTAGTTCTTTTCTGCTCCCGTGGTTTCATTGGGATCCCTGTTCTCTCATATATACGTGTCATTTTTTTCTGGCTTCTCTCAAGATTAAAAAAAAAGTCTTTCAGTTTAATTTTGATGCGTTCGGACGTTGTTTTCTTAGAGAGTATCCGTTTGGGGTTGGTTGAGTTTCTTGTGTCTGTAAATTTACGCCTTTAACAATAAATATTACTATATTTAGGGAATATTCAGCCATTGTTCCGATGCTGCCTTTCAGCTCCGACCCCTCTCTCCTGGGGACTCCGGGGAGGGGTGCTGCGTGTCGCGCTACAGGCCCCGCGGCTCTGCTCGCCGTGCCGGCCTCCCCCGTGAACGTGGCCTGCCTCGCGCTCCTCCTTGCCTCTGCTCTACCAGACCCGCTCCGTGAAGCGGGGTGGGTTTGCGTGGCATTCACCAGTGTCCCCAGCAGAGGACCTGTCACCTCATGGTCACTTCATGAGTATTTCTCCAAAAATAAAAGGATGCTGGGGGTGTCAGTTTCTGAAAAAGCTTCAGGGCTCAGACCCGGTATGACCTGCTCCTGGGGGAAGCTCGGCTTTTTCTTGGCAGGAGGGCGCCGGCGGCCTCGGGGTCGTGGTGGGGTCGCGGTGAGCGAGCCCCTGGGGAAGGGCGGGCCAGGATCAGGTGAGGGGGGCACGGCCCCAGCACCGGATCTCGTGTCTGCGTTTGAAAAGAGTCGTTGTCCGCCTGGCCTAGGAGCCAGCGTGCGGCTCAGGCCCAGGAAGCCAGAGGCAGATAACCCTGGAAGCGAGACGCCCGGGCCGACCTAACAGGGCCTGCTTGTTCCGCCTGCTCGGAAGGGGCGCGACCTCGCGCGGCCCAAGGCTGGGATCTGCCAGATCTGCTCTGGGCGTCCCCGCGTCCCCGTCCCCCCCCCCCCCCCACCGCCCTGTCCTGGGTCTTTTGAGGTCTGACTTGGATTACATAGTAACAAGCAGGGTGACGCTCGCCCTCCAGACCCTGAGGCCGGCGGTGTGAACACCGAGAGCGTCTGCGGGGGGTCGGGGGTGGCCCCTGGCGGGGTTGTGCCCAGGGGACCGGCAGCTTGAAGGGACACGCGCAAGAGCAGTGATTTAGGTGGCGTGCGGCCCCTCAGCCAGCGCAGAGCCCTTCCTCCTAGAGAGGAGGCCTCTGCAGCCCAGGGGGGGCGGCCGCCCCCGCGCCGGGTGGGGGCGCCTTCGGTGCCCGGGTACCTGCCCTACCACAGGGCCTGCAGGAAACCCCCAGCCAGGCCGACTCTCGCTACCACGGAGATCCCCCTCCCAGACCCTGTTTAAAGTGCTGGTTACCAGAAGAGGGTCCCCAAGGTGGGGAGGGGCGGGGACGCCCAGGAGACCCCAGGAGCCGCTGCTGCTCCTCACCCAGAGGCCCCCCCGGTGTGCGTCCAGGGCCAGCAGCGGCCTGGGGGCCGTGGTCTCCTCTCTGTCTAAAGAACTAAAAGATTATTTGGAAACAGTAACATAATCCTTTTCTCTTGTTTCTGTTAACATTTTAAAAGCCCACATCAACTTTGCATGTTTTTATTCTGCTCTCAGCTGAGCACGCGCGAATGAGGTCCCTTGGAAGGGCTCTGTGAGTGTAGGGGTCCTTGGGCCGGCCTTGCATGCTCGCTGGGCCTGCAGGCCCTTCGCAGGGTTGGTGTTGGTCATTGGTGTGTGACCGTCCCGCCTGGTGCCCTGGGGCGGGGTGGGGGGGGTGCGTTGTGTTCCAGCGACAGCCGCTTCCCTAAGAATGGAAGCAAAGAGTATTGGAACGTTTCATATTTGCCTTACGTTTTATAAATATTTATATTGCATTTGAAAAGACATGCGTTTTTCTCCCTCAGCCCTTCTATTACACAATCAAGGTACCTGATTTAGGACTAATTCGAAATAAGCTGTCAGACTTGACTACTTACCTATTTTAAAGTTGAATTTGTTTTTACTTTTCTTTAAGCCTTGTTGTCTACTTGGCACATTTGTACTGGGTGCTGAACAAAGAGTTTCACTGACTGCGCTCTATTTTGTTTGATTCTTTCAGTTGCTTGATTCTCTTCCAGTTTTATTTAAATGTCATGAATTTGAACAGATCTGCCATTTTGCCTCGCACACTGGTGCCTGCTGAGAAATCCCCCTGGGCTCTGGAATAGGTGTAACTGTCCTGCATGCACTGTGTTTCGGGAGACATCCATCTTTCTCATCTGCTCATCTCAGCACATGCGACTCCTAAGAGACGGTGGTCAAGCCCTGAACTTGCCGCCTTTACCTGTGCACGTGCATGAGTGCCCGGCCCGCGTGGCCTTCCCCCGGCCGGCGCTGGGAGCGCCGCGCACCACCTCCGGCAGGGACCACGGCACCTGCTCGCCTCCCTCTCCTGAAGCTGTCACTGCCTGCCTGGCTGCGTCCCCAGGGAGGGGGAACCTTTGCCTTTGCTCCTGAAGTCCGAAGTCCCTTTCTCAGGACAGCTCGGCTCACCCGCACCCTATTTACATTATAATTGGCCACTGGCTGCCTGGTGCAGCTGTTTCAACTTAAACCCAAGACAGTTGCTATGGAGACGGGTGACTAAAAATAAGTCACTCCAGTCCTTGCCCCTGGATGTGAGGGAATGCGGTGGTTCTGGAAGTGTCTCAGTTGAACAGACAGTGTGGGGGTGGGCCGCCACCCGGCCCCTTTGGGGCGAGGCTTGTCGAGACCTGGGGCCACTTGCTGCTGCGGCCCCGTGTGCACAGCGCACCCGAGGCCGACAAGGGCGGTGGGGGGGGGGGTGGCGGCGTCGGAACCAGCAACAGGACCCTGATGGGCCGCCTCCTGTATGGCTCTCAGAAGCTGTTTGTAAGTTCTTAAATGTGGCCAAATAGCCTGTATTTTCAAGACACGACCAGGAGTCCAAGAACAAGTTTGTGACAACGAGGAGTCCACGGTGGCGCATGGTTGTGGGAGGCACCCCCGGACAGACGCGCCCTCCGTTTGGCCAGAAAACGTGGTGGCTCCCCCCGGGCGCCCGGCTGGGATGAGCAACGTCCTCCCTGGGGTTCCACCTGTCCTCTGCTGTGGGGTGACTCCAGGTGCTTGTCCTTCCTTCTTCATGTGTCACCTGGGGAAATGGCTCCTGGCCCTGCACCTGCCAGCGGCCACCTGGGCATGTGGCCTCCCGCAGACGTGTATCGGGCGGCGCCCCGGGCTCGGCCAGCGGGCGTCTCTGGCCACTCTTACCCCGCCCTCTGTCTCCCTCGCAGGGCGCCGCCCACCTCGGGCGGGGTGGGGGGTGGTTTACGTCCAGGTGCTTCTCAGTGATGCAGGTGACGAGGAAACGCGCCCCCTGAGGATGCTTTGGGAACCACCATGTTCAGACCCTCTGGGCCCACCCGTCTCTCCTGGGAAGGGTGAACTGGCGGCTGGCAGAGGCTCTTGCTGTGGATGCTGCCGGGCTGATCTCCACTGACGAGAATGTGCGCCCCCCGGAGTTCCTCGGAGGACACCGCAACCCGCAGTCGCAGGTGAAAGCCGGAGGGGTAGCTCACGAGGCGCAGGTCTCACTCTGCGCCGGGACTGGTCTGAGCCCTGACAGGTCGGGCCGGCCAGGAAGCGCGTGCGGTGGTTTGTTTTCTGTAAGATGCTCTTGTAGCGCTTCATTGTCTTTTAACTTCATTTGAAACAATTTTGTTAGATTGTGTTGTGACAGCTGTCATATCAGCGTGCATTTAAAAAAAACTTACCAAAATTGGTGAATTTTTGTGTAGCCATTTTAATACTGAAGATGGAAGAACATACACAACAATTTCAGCATACTATGCTCTATTGTTTCAAGAAAGGTAAACATGCAAAACTGAAACAAAAAAAGATTTGTGCAGCGTACGGAGAAGATGCTGTACCTGATCGGACGTGTCAGAAGTGGTTTTCGGAGTTTTGAGCTGGACGATGCTCCACGGTCAGGAAGAGCAGGTGAAGTTGAATACAATCAAATCGAGACATTAGCTGAGAACAACCAGTGTTCTACCATGTGGGAGACAGCCGGCATATTCAGATTACCCAAGTCAATAAAGTTATTGGTGAAAATGAAAAATGTCTTTTATGGAAAAACCATACGGACTTTTTGGTCACCCCAGTATATGTCCTTACTGGACGCTCACAGCCACCCAGGGGTGGTGTTACCCTGCCTCCCAGGTGAGGAGACTGAGGCCTGGAGAGGGCACCTGGCGCCCGGCCGCAGCTTGTCCGCGGTGGGGCCGCCGCCCGCATTGGCACAGCCGGCTCCGGGGCGGGGTGCGCTTCCTCGGGGCCGCCACCACGTACACGTGAGACTGAGGAAGAGCAGCTGTGGCGGCGTGTGTGGCGATCGTGGTGCCGCGGCGGCTTTGCCCCTCCCAGGGGATGTTTGGCCGTGTCTGGGGACGTCGTCGTTGCCGCCGTTGGGTGGGGGCTGCTGGCGCCAAGTTGTGAGAGGGTCAGGGCTGCTGCTAAACGTCCTGCAACGCACAGAGGCCCCCCGCACCCCGGCGAGGAGTGGCCTGGCTGCGGGCGCACGTTGACAGTGCCGGGGCAGAGAGACCCAGTTCTGGTGATCTGTGCTCGTTCCAGCAGAGACAGGGCGGGGCAGGCAGCACAGTGATGGACGCATAACAGTGCAGGAATAAGCTCCGTGTCTGGCGTGCTCACTGGGGCCCTGCCCGGTGGCGCCCCGCCGCAGTCCTTGACCCCTGTGGAGTGCACGCACATTCTGCAGGACTTCTTTTTCTGAGTGTGCTGACGTACACGCACGCACATGTATTCTTTTCTGTAGATTGTCTTTATAACACATTACATACCCGTTTCCGTTTTGGAGTGCGTTTTAGTAAACGTATGCCCTTCCTCTGGATGGATGGGTGCCGCAGGCGGGCCATTCCGTCACTGCTGACCGGCAGCGATGCGCGGCCGTCCGCCTGTGCCTGGCATGCCTCCCTCGGGCCTCGCCGATGGAGAGGGGCCGGGCCACGGCCCTTAGGCCGGACCCTGCGGTCATGGGGCCCCTCTCCCCATGCCCGATCCTGGTCTGTCCTTCCGGCTGCTCTGCGCTCATCACAGGGAAGTGCTCATCACGCAGCCCCAGGACTTCAGGCCATGTGAACCGGTGGTCCGTTTGGGAGGGGTGGCTGAGGGGGTGTGAAAAATTTCAGAAGAGAAGGGTAGCAGGAGAAATGAAAACAAGAGAACAGGAGAAAGTGTGTGTGTACGGTGGGGTCAGAACGGAGCACGGAGGTGTGTTCTTAGCCAGCCACCATCCGAGGACCACTTGCTGTTGTGCTAGGGTTCACAGAACCATCCAGCGGGCTCAGGCTGTGGGAGCCGCTGGCCAGCACGTCCCAGTGCTGTCTGATGCGGCCGCTTCTGTGGTCTGCGGTGGGTGGGGGCTGCTCCCTGAGGGACGAGGGCTCCGCGGGGCCAGGGGCGGGTGCCGGGCTGGACGCGGACCCGGGGTCGCTGGGAAGCACACCCCAGCCTCCTGCCCGGGCTCCGCCGTAGCTGGCCTTCAGCCCAGCGCTGATGGCCAGACTGGCTGCTGCCCATCGTTTATTGAGGGGCAGTGCTGCCTGTCTGTCGCTCGTTAGACACAGAGGGCCCCCTCGGGGCATGTCTTCTGCAGATCCTTGGAAATAGACACCATTAAGTGTGTGTTTGGTCACGGCAGAGCTTTAAGATGTGGAATGGTGCACTTCTGTGAAAGGTTGTGTGCACGGGAGTCTGTGTTTTGGTGTCGGGGAAGGTGTGTGTCTGGTCACCGAAATGGGGATGGTGGGCGGAGCTCGCCAGTGCCGAGTCAGTGGTCCTGGAGGCATTGAAGCCAACAGCTAACGGGAGGTGTTCTGCTTGCTCTGAGGTGGCGGCTGCTCCCTGGTGGCTACCTGTGAAGGGCGCTGACTGGAGACACCCAGAGGGGCCCGACTCGACTGTCCTGCACAGGTGAGCCGCCGGCTCCTCCCCCGGGCGCTGCGTGTCCTTCCCGAGCAGGCGCCTGTGCTGCCGAGGAGGGCCCAGCGCCGCCCTCGCCCGCAGAAGAGGTGGAGGGCCTGGCTCGCAGGGAACAGGGCGCAGGAAGGGACATGCTGTGCGGAGGCCCGAGCACTGCGCCCGCTCCTCGGAGGCCCTTGGCGGGGGCTCTTTCCGCCTCCTCGGTCCTGTCACTGTTGCCTCACGCAGGCTTTCTTCCCTGTTGCCGGGCCAGTTACCAGTCTCGTGCCGTGTCTGATCATTGCCCCCGTCCCTCGCCCCCCTCGTGAGTGGCCCGAAAGAAGACTGTGTGCAGACAAGCAGCGTGTCTGGCCAGCTGGCCCCCGCGGCAGCCCGGGCCTCGGCCTGGGGTTCCGGCCCCCCGGCCTGCGCTGACACACTTTGGGGCCGCCACCGGATGGCTCGCCCGCCCGCGGAGCTGCAAGTCGGCCAGCGCGTCTCGGGGGTGGCCTGGAGATAATTATCCGAAGCAGAAATGGAGTCGCACTCACGCCCCGGGGGAGGGGCAGGCTCCGGTCGGGCGTGGCCCAGGAATCTGCTCCGCTGACCTACTTCTTCACGTGGGACTCGAAGCCCCTCCGTTTGCCAGCCTTCCTGGCTCCCGTCCTCCTTGTCAGGGGGCTGGGTGTCCGTGGAGCTCGGCTGTGGGGCCACAGCCACTTGGCAAGTGGCTGGAGTCCTTCAGAGCCCGAGGCGGCGCCTCTACCGGGGAGGCGGCCAGGGGCAGAAAGCCGCAGGGGGCCCCGGGGCATCTCGGGGCCTGGGCCCCTCGACTCTGAAGAACGTCTTTCCTGAATTGAACAGTAGAAGAGAAAGCTGAGGGGAGAAGGGAAACCCAGAGGGGACGCGTTCCACCCACTGAGTCCGACCTCTGCGCAGGCGCGCGTCTCCTCGGGCCACACGCAGTGACCAGCGCTGCAGGGGCGCAGGCGGGGTCCGTCACCGCAGCGGGTGCAGGGGTACACGGGGAGTTGACAAGGGTGGTGGAGCCCCCGCGAAGCTGAGCGGACAGGGCATTAAGGGCACTGGGTGCCGGGTGACCACCTGTGCCCTCTTGAACCCCTGACCTTCCCTGCCCCACTGCACCCTGAGAGGGAACAGACTCGCTCAGACTCGACTAGAGTGAGGCAGAGCAGCTGCTAACCTGGGGCACAACGATGCAGAGTCAAGGCTGGGTGTCACCAGCTGGGCCCTGGGGACACAGGTGCTGGGACAGCATGGTGTGCAGAGTACTTGTCGGAGGGACGCCTACGAGGAGGCATTGGGGGGCGTGGGTCGGGCAGAGGGGAAGCCAGGACCCCAAGGGGTCGCAGCCGGTCCCGCGGGGGCTCGGGCACTCATGGCCCACGGCGTGGGGTGGGGGGGCTGGACGGGCTGGGCCTGGGGCCCCTGCTGTGGTCAGTGGGCCCCCGGTGGCACTGAGCTGGCTCTTGGCCGCTGTGGGCGCTGGGGGTGGGCCGGCACCGCGGCAGCTGGCGCACCGCGTCCTTCACAGGGGCCTGGCGCCGGCGCTCCTGCCGCCCAGAGGCGGCCCTGCGGGCGCGGGCCCGGCGCGCACCGGGGAAGGCGCGTTTGGGGAGTGCTTCTCGGAGGCCTCGCCGCCCCTCTGGGGGCCTGGCTGTCAGACGCCCGTGGCGGGGGGGCAGCAGGTGTGGCTCGCCGGGGGGCCGGGGCCGTGTCAGTGTCACCGAGGGAGCTGAGGTGACCGGGCGCCTTGCTGGGGCTGGTTCCTGCACCCTGACTCTGTCCCTGTCCCCCTCGCTCTGCTGTCCCCAGGCTGGACCACCCAGTGCTCCACGTCTCCTGGAACGACGCCGCAGCCTACTGCGCGTGGGCCGGGAAGCGCCTGCCCACGGAGGCCGAGTGGGAGTACGGCTGCCGGGGGGGCCTGCGTGACAGGTACGGGCCCCCTTGCCTCGCCCGGTGCAGACCTTTTCCAAACCTGGGGATGCGTTCTGGTTGGAGTCGACCTGATAACCGCAGCTCTTTCCTCCTGGGTTGTCTTCACGGCCACGGAGTGGCTCAGCAGCAGGACCAGTGAGTCACCAAGTGGCAGGCGGGGTGGGCCCCCCGCGCCCCGGGCGCCCCCAGCAGGCCGGGCCAGTGCGGGCGGGCTTCCTGGCGCTCGAGGCCACGGCCCCGCTTGCGGCTCCGGCTCCCGGTGCCTCCCCACACAGCCATGCTTCTCCACTTCTGGGGCCACCAGGTGGGAACCCGCGTTTGGGCTGCACCAGGAAAGGCTCCTTCCCATAGCGAAGCCTGTGTAACGCGTGCGGTGTAACCTGGCGGTGGCCCGTCATACCCCTGTGTGGGTCTGGATGAGGCCGGCCACCCAGCCTTCTGGAAGCTCTTTGGGTTCTGGGGCTTCGTCTGGCCTCCTGAGCTCTCCAGAGACGGAGGCTGTGGGGGACTTGACGTGAGTTTGCTATGCAGAGGTTAGAAGATCCTGGTTAAAAGCTTTGCTTTTTTACACATTGGTGGTGTAAACCCACATAGCTCGCTCAGGGCAGGTGCACAGCACTCACGCCTCCACCTCGTCGCTGCCCGGGACTGCGGGCCGGAGATTCCGGCCCGGGCCGGGCTGACCCCTGTCTCCCCGACAGGCTGTTCCCTTGGGGCAACAAGCTGCAGCCCCGAGGCCAGCACTACGCCAACCTCTGGCAGGGCGAGTTTCCTGTGGCCAACACCGGCGAGGACGGCTTCCGCGGCACCGCGCCCGTGAGTAGGGCGGCTTCGGGCGGTGGCGGCAGCTCTGGGGGCGGGGGTGAGTGGGGGTGGGACCGCCGGGCTCCCCCGCACCCCGTCCTCCGCTGCGTACACAGCGAAGGCTAACGTGCGCAGGCAGCCTTTCTGTAGTGCGGCTTCCTGTCTGAGTCCGGAACGCTCACTGTAGAACCTTTGGGAAAAGAGGAGCGGCTGAGGGAGAAAATTCAGAGGCCCTGAGCTCACCCACCTCCCCTGTTAGCATCTGGGGCGTCTCTGCCGGTTCCTGGTAACAGTGGTGACCGTGGCTCACGGTCAGTGAGCCAGGCCGTGCGCCAAGCATGGTACGGAGCCATCGGCGCGGATGCTCTCGTGCGGGGTGGACACAGCTCCGGGAGGTGGGCGCCGTTGCCCCCCGTTCCCAGGGAGCCGTCGGAAGGCAGCAGCGCTTGGGGGCGAGGCAGGTCGGTTTGCGTGTGCAGCCCGGGCCCTCGGCCGCCGTAGGGGCCAGCGTAGGTGTTGCTGGGGCAGAGGCGCCTGCCCTGTCCCCCCTGCTGTTGGGTCACACTGGAGACAGTCCTGAAAATCTGTTCTCCCTGGGTGACATCGGGAACATCTTTTATCTGCTGTGAGCAGTTCTTCACAGATACGTGGTCTTTTGGCACCTGCTGGATAGCTTGCCGTTTGAATGGGCCCTAGCTTATTTGCCTCTTACTGTTGCCAATTCAGGTTGTACCTAAACATGGCAACAGGGAATATATTGTTCGTAAACATTCAGTTGTTTATAAACAACTCCAGTGACATTTTTAAGGTGGATTCCCAGAAGGAAAGTTCATGGGTCAAAGACTGGAACACTTTCTTGGTAAGGTTCTGGGATCTGGGGCCAAAGTGCTTTCTGGCATGTGGGTGTGGGGTGCCCCGCTTCCCCTGCCCCCCGGTTGCGTTTGGGGTCCTTTCTCACAGCCACTGCTTTGCCTGCAAAACCACGCGCTAGTGAAGCAGGTTTAAAAGCAGCCCCTTTTCTCTTAACGCAGCGAGGAGAGCAGCCTTGTGGTGGGAAACAGCCCATTCCCGGGTCTGCTGTTCCCAGCCTGAGGGGCGATGTCACCTGGGTTTGGAGTGACGCTGAGATCCGGGTCTTCCACTAGGACCATTTCAGAGAAGACCCGCAGGGCCGCGCCCACCGTTCTGGGGCATCCAGGGCTCTGGTCCCCGAGGGCAGGGCTCGGCGGGCCCCAGCGGGAGCGCCCCCCCTGCAGTGTCCCGAACTTCTGGTTTCCCGTCTGATTTTCAGCGCAGCCGACCACCCTGGCCCCGGGCCCCGGGCCCGGGGCCAGGGCTCGCATGTCGCGAGGCTGCTGTCCCAGGCTGGAGGGCGCGCGGCCCGTGCTGCCCCTCAGTCCCACGCTGGAGGGCGCGCGGCCCGTGCTGCCCCTCAGTCCCACGCTGGAGGGCGCGCGGCCCGTGCTGCCCCTCAGTCCCACGCTGGAGGGCGTGCGGCCTGTGCTGCCCCTCAGTGCACCCGCCTGGAAGTGAGCCCATGTGAGGTGCTTCTCGGTTCGCGTGTTTTCTTCCGAGGCTCTTGGGAGGAAGTTTGGTTAGTAGGGTTAATTTAACAACGAGCAGTTAAAATTTGTATCCTTTTTGGTGGCATGTCCTATAGTGTAATTTTGGGGGTGGAGACGTCTGGATTTTACTTTGCTTAAACATCCAGTTATTTAGAGGGGAGAATGCCGCACACTTTTGAGTGGATGCTGTCGTTTCCTCGTTGCGTAGTTAGCTTACCAGGTGGAGTGGATTGCCAGCCCGACAGCTGCTGAGCGTGGGCACGTGGCGAGGTGCTCGGCCGGCTGCTGGGAGCCCCTGCGCCTGCGCTCTCCCCCCCCCCCACCGCTCTGGTCCCCCCTAACCCCCCACCCTGCCCCAGAAACGAGCCCTTCCTCCGAGACCCCTCTTCTCTCATTGCTCAGGGCCCTGCTCCCTCCCTGTCTCCCTGAACAAATTAATTCCTTCTTTTCCTTCCTACGCCTTCCAGCTATTATCTCCTACTCTCTCTGATCCTCTCCAATCCCTGAAAGAACAGGCTGTGCCAGAGGCCCACCACCTTTACTTCCTTCTGACCTTTGAACTCTGACCTCGATTCCAGGTCTGCCCAGACACCTGCCCTGGTAGAGGAGGCCACACCTCCTGGGAATTCTCCAGCCTGCACTTCCATTCTCTTCCCACTCGTCTTGCCTGGCTTGTCCCACTCTGTCTTTTAGAATCGATTTTTAAAAAACATTTTTGGTATAGTCTTTTCTCCCTCATTAAGCTGCCCAGACTTCCTGCCTCCAGTGGACAGGCGTGGAGATAGGCCTGGGGCGTCCCTGTGAGGACCGGGTGGAGCAGGAGCTCCTGCAGCCTCCCATGCCCCCGGATGAGTTCGGGGAGCGGCTTCCCAACCTCCCGGCGCCCGAGCCCCCGGCGCTTTTGTAGTCAGGTCCAGGCCCAGCACCGGAGGCCAGACAGGAAGGAACGCTAACGTATTCATTCCTTTAGTCCTATTGCATTACTATAGGAGAAAGATCTAAAAAAAGAAGAAAAACAAGGATAACTTGATTTTTTTTAGGTTACAAAATGAAAATTTTTGTTTGAGCTTTTTCATTTAAAAATATTGAAAAAAACTTAAGTCACTAAAAGAAGAAAACTGTTCTGCACTTACTTTGTTCAGTTAAAAGTTCCTCTCGCCCCCGCACCCCCTCCTCTTACAAAAGCGTCCCAGCGCGGCCCTGGGCCTGGCGGGCTGTGGCCGGCCGCGCGACCTGCCTGTGACTCGGGTGCCCTCGCTCACTGCTGAGCCTGGACGCTCGGTCCCATCGTTCCGGAGCCGGGCGCTCCGTCTCTTTATCAGAAGCGCCCTCCGTGTTCGGATGACGTTGCCTAGGCTCGAAGATTAGAATCAGGGGTGTCCGACCCTTTGGCGTCCCTGGGCCGCACTGGAAGAAGAGCTGTCTTGGGCCGCACGTTAAATACATCGTGACACGTAATCTCAGAAATCTCACCGTGCTTTTAAGTGGATTTACGATTTTGTGTTGGGCCGCACGAGGCCCGTGGGTGGCAGGGGGACACCCCGGGATTAGGTGGTGCGTTCGGGGAGGCGCGGGGGAGAGGACGGTACCGGCGTGGGGGTCTCTCAGGGCTGAAGGGGCCGGTGCGGCCAGCGCGGCTCCGCCCTGACGACGAGACTTACGCCGGGTGCGCTCTGCCCTCTCGTTACGCTTCCGAAGGTCTAAGTTGCATCGCCCCCGCTTCCCGCCGTCAGATACAGCGGCACTGCTGAACTGTTTTCATCTCATGCACACGTAAACTAAGCACTAAGTTTCTGCGGCACACCAACAAATATATTTTTTGCCAATCTGACAAAAACAAAAATCAGATATAATTTTGATTTTTTCATACCATATGGCTAGCGTTGTGTTGGCTGTTATCATTTTGTAATTTGACGATGGAAGGAAAAGAGGTCAGCGCCCCCGACTCAGTAGTCAGACGTAGCGTGCCGAGATGCAGGTTTGATTTATGGTTGTATTTCTCCATTACAAATGATTTTGCTGGCTTCCCTACCATGTGATAGGTGTAAAGTCCTCAGATTTCTAACTTCCCCCTGAGAACTCAAAGCTGAAAAATGCCTGTGTCTTAATTTTTTTATTTTTTCGTTGGCTAGACTGTACTTTGACTGTCAGGATGAAAATTAGTACTCAGACTCGGAAGTCGCAGCCCTCGGGGGCTTTCGGCACCGGCGAGGTTTCCTCGCGAGGTGAGCGGCTTGACAGCGTTTCCCCGTGTGGTTGCAGGTCGCCTCCTTCCCCCCCAACGGTTACGGCTTGTACGACATGGTCGGGAACGTGTGGGAGTGGACCTCCGACTGGTGGGCCGTCTACCACTCTGCCGAAGACGCACGCAACCCCGTGAGTAGCACCCTCGCGTGTCCGCGCCGGGCTGGAGCGGCCCGTGCTGTGTGCCCTGGGAGTCGGCCTTGGGATACCCCAGAGGGGTGCTGCCTGCGCCTCTGCTCTCCGCCCGGGAGCAGCGAGGGAGAGTGTCGTGAGCATCTCGTGCTGCTGGACTGTGTGGCAATAACGTGGCGGGGGGCCCCACCCTGGACAGTTTCTGCTCCGTCTAAGTAACTGTGCAGAGTTCATGGGTGTTTTATCGCTGCTGGTGGGACCTGCTGGATGGTACGTAGCCTGTGGCGAGTCGCCTGGGTTTTGATGGGCTGGGGTGTTGGCTCAGGAGCCACCCTCGGAGCACCGGGAATGGGCTCCTCCTGGTCAGAGGTGGGGTCACTGGGTGGCGATTTCCTGAGCGCGGCTGGGAGCCCGTTCACCCCGCCACCCGCCTGGGGAATCTGAGGCCGCCACGCGTGTCTCGACTTTACGCATCCGGTGCGGGAGAATGTTGTGCTGGAGAAGGCAGCTGGTTACTGCCCTGCTTCGGAAACCGAAGTCTCCCAGTAGATCAACAAAAACGGGACAATACATGATGGTGGGGGGAGGGGGCGGTGTGTGAGGAAAGCGCTTCTTTTAAAAAGAACATCTCTGAATGTTTTTCGCTGTGTGCACAGACAGATTAGGGGGGAAATACCCTGTAAAAACCCTGTCTCTGGCAAACTAGATATTCATAAGTCAGGTCGAAGCCTGTATATCCATATCCAAATCAGCTCGACTGGGAACTCGATGTGCCTCGATTTAAACCTTAACCTTCTGAAAAGGCACAAGAGAGAACGATGAAGAAAATGAACCCTTTCATCGCTTCTCATCAGAGTCAGACAGCTCAGAGCGACTGAAGGCGCTGTCGGCTCTGTGCCTCAGGCCGTTGTTCAGAAAGTGGGGGCCAGTTGTTGGCCGCCGCGTGGCTCCCGCGGCAGAGCGTAACTCGGGGGCTGCGCACGAAGGCCCAGGGACGCGGGCCCCGTTTCTCGGTGCCGCTGACCAAGCCGAGTTCTTCACAAACTGTCGCTTCCCGTTTCCCTCGTGCCTCCTGGCCGGGCCGGTGGAAACAGCTGTCAAAGGCTGCCCCTGCCTCCAAAATGAGAACCAGGTTGTGAAAACCTGGCCCGGTGTGTGGTGGGGAGATGCATTCTCGCCTGGTACCCCGTGACTTGGCCCTTGCCGTTGGAATCAGAAATAGAACGTCCCCCTCAGGGCGCCTGCCAGTCGGGAGGGGACGCGCCGGCGCCGGGATGCTGGCGGGCTGCGCAGCGTCGCCCTGGCCATCTGGTGTGGTGCGGAGCGCTTTCAGCTTTCAGTTCCGTAACTGCTCGCGCTTCTTCTAGGGATTGACAGAAAAATTCACGCTGCTTTCCCCAGTGCCAGGCTCTTTCTCGGATGTTGTTCTCACTCTGTAGATTGTGCTCATGTAAGGCTTCTCTTTGTCACGGTGGCCTCATTTGCTTCCTGACTTGACTGGGGTAAAACTCAGCCCCAACTCCCTGGGAAACACGTGCTCATCGTTCCCTCTTCGCAGCCTCTGTTGGGTTCGAGCGCCACTGCCCTCAGGCCCGCCGCGACCGCCCCTCCGCCGGGTCGCTGGCCAGGTCCCTGCGCCGACCCCCGTCGGGCCCGCCTCCGCTGTCCGCCCCCTCGCAGCCAGGACCCCCTTCCCGGGGGCAGCCCCGGCCCCGCCGTGCCCCTGCTGAGCCCCCTGCGCAGGCTTCTTGTCCGGAGAAGCGAGGACGAGCTCCTGAACAGGACGTGTGAAGGCTACAGTACTTAGGCCTTGCTGATTTTCCTTTTTCCCTCCCCCAACGTTTAATGACCAAATGTTCTAAAAATCCAGAAAAGGACAGAACATACTGTAACGTGCACCTATGTACCTACCATTTAGATTTCACATATCTTAACAGTTTTTACTGTATTTCTTTTAACCAAAAACCCAAAGCTCTTCTAGTCACCACTTGGCATTGTCAGAATTTTCACCTGACGCTCTCCCGCTCGGCGCGCCTCGCTGTGGCCGTCCCGCGGCCGCCCGGAGGCTCCGGGATGCGGCTGCGCGCCTGCCTCTGGCCTCCGGCGCCGCGCGTGTGCCCGGGCAGCGCGCCCTCCGAAAGCCGGGGCGGCTGGGGGAGCGGGTGATGCCTGCAGCTTCTTAGATCTTGAGGTTTTAAATTACTTTCTTGTCCTTCTGACCTTCCTTAACCTCTTATTTTTTTAACCAAATTGTTCTTAAAAGCTTCTGATCTGGCAAGTCAGGTTTCGTGCTGGCACCTGGCTCACTCACAGACCGGGAGGCTGTGCCGTCGTGCGTCTGCGGCTCTGCCTTCCCTGAGCCCTGTCGCTGTGTGACTCGTCTGTTTTCTCCCCGACGGCCTGGAAATAAAGCCACGTTACCAAGAAGAGAGAAGCAGAACAGTTAAATCTTTTTTTTTTTTTTTTTTTTTTTACCAGATTATCCTGGGGATTCTTTAATGTGGATACATGCACAGGTTTATAAGAGGCGTCCACGTGTCCACATGTGTGATTTCCTTATGAGCGCACATGCTCATCTGGTCAGAAATCCCTGGGCAGCCTGCCGGATGCTGGGCTCAGCGCTGGGTCCCGGGAGCTGCCTGCACCATCCTCTTGGCCTCCCGAGCGGGCAGAGGCCCGGGAATCGAGCACACGGCGCCAGTCCCACATGCGTGTACATGTGTGTCTCACGTGTCGGGGCAGCAGAGCCGATGGTCAGGAGCGTGCAGTGGTGGAGCCGGGCTGAGTCGCTGGGGCAGATTGCCTTTGCTCTCCTCAGCTGCCCCTTTGTGCCTGAGCGAGGGGCCGTGCCCCTTTTGGGGCGAGGAGAGGTTTCCGTGGGGAGGGGGATGAGGAAAACGTCGTGGGGAGTGGCCAGTAAGGACTAGATGAGTCTGAACTATGACTACTGAGTCTTATCTGTCATGAAACGAAATACAGCAAGCCAGCGGCCGCGGGCGGCCCTCACCCTGACCTCTAGTCCGTGGCGACGCTCGCTCTGGGCCTCTTCTGGGGGACGGCGAGGGCGTGAGCCCCCGTAGCGTGCCCCTCCAGGCGCTTCCCTCCGTGGCTCGCCCCGGCTTCCTGCTCAGGCACGCAATGCGCGGCGCTTCTCGTGAAGGGGCCGGGCTCACGGATGCGGTGCTCGCCTCTTGTCCGCCGTCACGGTGCCCGAAATCAAATCACGCAGGCCCCACGTGTTCTCTGGAAGCAGTCACGGCAGATGCCACTTGGGATGTAAGCTAATTCCTTAGCCTCTCCTACTTGCTAATGCGGTGTTACTGAGGGGCGCCGATGACTGCGTGCTGAGAATGCGGCGAATGAAACCCGTATTTTTCTTGCTTTGCGCCATGCTCAGCGCCACCCCGGCTCTGCGACAGGCCTGAGCGGCTTGGCGCCCTGATTTGAGGGTTGACGGGCGCTCGGGGCGGCCCCCCGCACTCGGAGGCCGTGCCCGGGGCATTGGGCGCTCCGTGGCAGCTGGCCCAGGCATTACCTCTCTGGAGGGCAGCGCTGACGTGTGCACCGGGCCTGGTCAGGACGGGAGAAACGGGTTCTGAGAGCGTTAGAAGCGCCCCGTCCGGGAGCGGATGGGCCACGCGTGGACTTGGGGTTGAACGTCGGCACATGAAGCTTTCCGAAATTAAAGGACCTCCTGCATCATGCGGTGACAGACCCCCTTTAGCAGCGTACGGCCACCAGCAGGCGAGGGGGCAGTCGGGGTTTTTTAAGTCAATAATTATTTGCTTTATTTTGATTTTTTAATTTACATGTTATTGTTTAATGACCGTTTTCATTCACTGTTATTTTGTATTAGTTTCAGGTGTACGGCCACTATGTCCTAACCGCTGTGTGCCTTACAGGGTGGCCTCCCCGATAGTTCCCATTCCTACCTGGCACCATACGTGGTTCTCACAGTATTGGCCGTGTTCCCCGAGCTGTGCCTTCCGTCCCCTGGCTGTGCCGTGACTGCCGACCCGTCCTCCTCGCTCCCTGCGCCTTGCTCCCCTGGCCCCCGGCCCCCGGCCCCCAGGCCCCCGCTGTGGCAACCATCAGCCCCCTCTGTGTCCCGGACTCCGTTTCAGTTTCAGTTGTTCCCTTATTTTGTACTTTAAATCCACGTGTAATACGTGGAATCATATGACACTTGTCTTTCTCTGAGTGGCTTGTCTCACCGAGGGCAGTGCCCTCTGGCCCGTTGGCGCCGCTGCGAGTGGCTGAGCCGCCTTCCGCGCTGTGCCTGAGCCTGGGGTGCCAGGGCGGGCGGGCCGCGCGGCCTCTCTGGGAGGCCTGTGGGCGGCGGTGGCGGTGCTCAGACACACGGTCAGCAGTCTCTTCTGGTGTCGTGACCCGCAGCAGCAGCCGTGATCCCGAGGGACGGTGCTCGCGGTGGTGCGTCCATCCTTCCTCTGACAGACGGAAGCGGAGACCCTTCTGCCTCGGACTAGCGTCCTGGGGCGGCCAAAACAAATCACCCCAAACTTGGCGGCATGAAACAAAAGAAGGCTCTCCCCTCCCAGCTCCGGGGGCCTGAAGCCCGAGCCCGAGGGTCGGGCAGGGCTGCGCTCCCTCCGGAGTCTTCGGGGCGAGCCCTTCCTGCCTGCGCCTGCCGCCCGCACCGCCCCCCACCCCTGGCTTCTCCGCGTGTCTCTGGGCCCCCCCACCCCGCCCGCCGTTGCCAGGACGGCGGCCTTGGATTGAGGGCTCACCATGGTTCAGTGCCAGCGCCTCTTACCCAACAAGTGCCACTCTGCCTCATGCCCGTTTCCAGATAAGGTCACGCCCCCAGGCTCTGGGGGAATTTGAACGTGGGGGCCTCTGCCCACCCTGCTGCGCCCTCCTAGTGGCTGTTCTGTCTTTGGCAAAGTGGTAAACATTTCCCAGGGTGGTGGCCACTCTTGCTGCGGGGTGTTTCCTGGCGAACACAGCCTCATCCGGTGGGCCCAGTGCACGGCCCTGTGGGTAGCGGCCGGGGAGCCCTGTGCTCTGCGTCGCTGTCGGGATGGGGTCACACAACCTTGCATTCGTCAGGACCCGTCCAAAGCCTGCACTGAGGAAGGCTAAGCAGATTCCTGTGTGTGAATTATGCCTCAGTGAACCCAACCTAAAGTTGTTTTGAAAATGAACAGGAGATCCCTTCCCGCAGTCAGCAAAGGGTGAACAGGCGTCGCGCCGCAGGCCTGCAGACACGCCATTCAGAGTGGCTGGCAGCCGGGACGCAGGGTGGCTGGGTCAGCAGGAGCAGGGGTGCGGGGGGTGTGCTGGGCGAGGAGCGCCGCGGGGTCCTGGGGCTGGACCCCTGAATGGTGGGAGTCGGGGGTGGGCATGGGGCGGCTGTGGGGTGCAGGGCGAGGCCTGGGAGCACGAGCCACAGGGGCCTCCGGGCTAGGGGGCCCTGCCCACCGCCGGGGCAGCTTGCGCCGTGGACTCACGAGCTCTCTTCCTCCACAGAAAGGCCCCCGCTCTGGGAAAGACCGGGTGAAGAAAGGCGGCTCCTACATGTGCCACAAGGTAAGCTGCGTTGCGAAGCCCCGCGTCGGTGCCCGGCAGCAGGCGTGCGGACCGCGCCTGCTTCTGCGGACACAGACCTGGCCGCCCGGGGCCGGGAGAAGCCTGGGCACGGGCGTGGGGGGGGGTGGCCCCAGCGGCGGGCGTTGTGAGTGCCCCGCTGTCAGCCTGATCCCGCCTGTCAAACCGTGGCCCTTTGAGAGGCCGCGCCACAGGGACAGGGGTGGGGCCCGTGCCCGCCAGCACCGTGCCTCAGGGCGCAGCCTGGACCCGAGCCAGGCCCCCGTGGCTGTCTGCTTCCTGGCTGAGGTCAGGGGTGGGTCTGCGGGGCTGGGCTGGGGCACTGGGGTGGAAGCATCGCGTGTCCTGGGCGTGGAGCGTGTGCTCTGTGAAGGGCGCGTCGGCCCCCAGCGCGTTTCGGCTCCACGGTCATCGCCGGCACCGGCTGTTCCTGGTCAGGCGGAGCGATGCAGCGTTTTGTGAGTAACGGCTTTGAGGAGTTAGGAAATCGAATGCCACTTCTTTCCCCTTTTCCCTTAAATTACGTATTTTAGCATTGCCAGCACTTCAGCTTCTGTCTCCCTGCCCCTGTACAAAGATGACATTTTGCAAATTGTTATTACAGGAAGCTTCCCACAGTAATTCAGTCAGTCCAGGCTGCCAGGGACGTAGGGCGACCCGTGCAGGCTCCAGATTAAGTCACTGCCGTGCGGATGGCGGCAGCGTCGTCAGACGCCGCCGGCACAGGGCCTCAGACTCACTGCCGCTGGGGCCCCCGGGGCCATCAGCAGGCTGACGCCTGGTTTCCTTCACGCCTCGTTCTCGTTTGGTGTCTCGGGACACGCCCGGGCACCAGGGTGTTAATGCTGTCGAGGCGACAATGTCACAGAGCGGAGCCGGGGACCCGCCGGCGCACGCGCAGCAGTGTGTGTGCGTCTTCTGCGTGCCTTAGAGCTTTCAGTCCACTTATTTAGATGGGAGTTCATGGAGTTGAGTTCACGTCGTGCTTTACACCAACATTTATATAAAAAGACGTGGACAAATTTATCTTTAACATTCTAATGTTCATTTTACATGAAAAACAGTGTCCCGGGCCATCCTAGTGCATTTACACACTTGTATACACGTCAGTCTTTCGTCCCAGATTTTTCCTTGAGTTCAGACTCTTAACGCAAGAATGTCTGAACCCTCTTGTTGGGGAGGCAGACTTCCAGGAAACCCGGATGCGTCGCTCTTTGCATGGCAGCGTCCCGAGACCGTAATTGCCGCCCGGTCTGTCTGTGACACATGGCGCTCCTTTTAATTGGGAGTCGAGTTCCTCTGCAAGAATTGAGAGCCAGGGATTTTTTTTCTCAAGAAACAATGGAGAAAATGAAGCTAGTAAAAACAAGTTAAGCGTGAATGCTAAAACATCCCAGTGCCATGCATATGGGTACGTCTGCCTCAACACTTTGGTTTCTTTGTTTATTTTACATCTGTTTTTTATGGGCTTCATAGTTTATTCTTTTGAAATATATTTTAACTTATTTGTTTTTAATAAATACATACACATGGTATGATTGATTTTTGAATGTTTATCTTGTGTCCTGAAACCTTGTTAAACTCATCTATACTAATAATGTTTTTGTGGATTCTATTGGTCTTGTCTATCCGGGCTGAATATCAGCAATTTTGCCTCTTCCTTTTTAATCTGGATGTCTTTTATGATTTTTTTCTTGCTGTGTTGTATTGTCTAGAACCTCCATTGTAGTGCTGAATAGAAGTGGTAAGGATAGACATTATTACTTCATTTTTGAGGCAAGAATCTTAGGTTAACATTCAGCCTTTCAGAATTAAATGTGATACTAGTCACAGTGTTTTCAAAGATGCCCTGTATGAGTTTGAGTTTTCTTCCTATTCCTAGTTTTTTGGAAGAGATTTTATCAGAAAAGGATGCGCGTTTTATTTGGCCATGCATTTTCGGTAGCTGTTGAGGTGTTTACTTGGTTTTCTCCGTCTGTTAATGTGTGAATTACACGAACGGATTTAAATTTTCTGGGATGTTTGTAATGAGCTACTCTTGCTGTTACCGTCCGCTCTCCCTTGTCCCCAAAAGCCTTCCTCTCGCTGAGCCCCGTCTGTCCCACTTGCCATCGGAGCCCCAGGGCGGGCAAGTCGTTGTCTCAAGTGGATTGTTTCCGAGTCCAGGGTCATATTCTTAGCACAGGTATTGAGATCAGTTTCACACAGTAATTAGCCATTTTGATGAAATGTTCTTAATTAATAAAATGACCCACATTTCAGCCACTCAACGTTCTAACCTCACTAATAACTGTTTTCGCTGCTAAAAATAGACTCGGAATAAGGGAGCAGTGTCCCCAGTCAGGCTGCCCCCTCCGCAGGCGCGCTTCCGCTCGCTGCCCAGCGCCGGCGTCGAGGTGAGCCACGCTCGCGGGTGCTGGCTGAGCAAATGCGGGCCCTTGGGAGGGGCCGGCGGCGCGAGGGTGGCGGTCGGGGCGAGCAGCCCAGCACGCTGAGCCGCGCCGTCGGGCTCGGCTCCCCACCTGTGCTGGGCGAGGGCAGCCCCGAGGGACTGTGGGGACCTCTTCAGGGACCAGCTCCTCCTGCTGTCGCTGAGGCGGAACTTTTCTGTTGTACAAACAAAGTGTTTTCATTGCATTAAATGTTATAAAGTAAATAATGAACGTAAAAATGAACATGAGATCATTCATTCCGCTTCCCATGGAGAACCGCTGTTTGTCTTCTACCAGAGCCTTTGGCGTGCTCGCTCTTTTCCTTCCCAGGATGGAACGCTCTGTGTGCACCGGGGGCTCCCGCCTGGCTGTGACGAAAATCTCCCTGCGGGGCGCTCCTGTGGGTCTCTGCCACTGTCCACATCCCCGCCTCGGGCAGGCGGGCCCTTGGAGTGTCACAGCCTGCGCGGCATGTGACATCTGATTTTAAGGCAGTGTGTGATGCCACTGGAGAGTCAGCTGCGTGCAGAGACCGGCAGCCAGCGGAGCCCTCTGCCCTCTGCCCTCTGCCTTCTGCCTTGCTGGCAGAGAGAGCCCTCGACTTGCCCTCGGTGCAGCAGGCAGCCTCCCCGTGTGCAGCGACCGGCTGTCCGCACGTCCTTCTGCGGGTGGGAGTGCCGCCGTTGGGAGCGAGGCCGTGGAGGCCTGCGGCGGGTGGGTGGCCAGTGCCCTGGTCAGCGAGGAGGCAGGTGGGCGGCGAAGTCCGGGTCTGCAAAGGAGAGCCGGACAGGGGCAGCACCTCCCACGGGCCTGGCGCTTTGCTTTCCGGGTGAAGATAGGGTGGAGCATTTTGCCGGTCCCCCAGGAACAGCCCGTGCTGCCTGCGCGGGAGCAGCTCAGGGAGGCTTTGCCAAGCGTGAGGCCGCGCGCTGTGAGCCTGAGGCTCTGCCCTTCCGGCAGGGGGACGCCAGCCAGGTGCCGGCGCGGTTTCCCTGGCGGGCCCTCTCCTCCCTGCAGAGACAGCCACCGCTCTGGGCCGGCGCCCGTCTTGCCACCCATGTCTGCCGCTCGTTGTCTTTCACCCGCTTTGGCTGCTCGTTGCGTTGCCCTGGGTCCGCTCCCGCCGGGCGCCTCCGCGGAGGCCTCGCAGCCGCCTTGTCCCACCTCCGGTCGCGCTCGGCCCGCTGCCCGCTCTCTGTCTTGCAGGCCCACCCTGCCGGGAATGCCCTCATCTCCCTGACGCCTGGTGCCTCCGCGTGGTCGCACTCCGACGCGGGTGCCCGGGACGGAGTGAAGGGGGAACTGGGCCGGGCCCTGCTGTCCACTCACCATGCCCGGACTTTGCCCCTTTCACGCCCCCGGTGCCGTTTTCTTCCCTCGACACACCCCCCTTGTGCTCTGAGGGCCCGCACGTCGCGTCGGTGCTGCCCCAGCAGCGCCCCGGCCGGCAGCTGGCCAGAGGGGCAGGTTTTCGGACCGCGCACCAGACCACTGATTCTCACGGACGCGCTTGGTGCTCTAGGAATTTCTAACGCCCCTCTCTCCTTTGGAACACTTCTGGGCCTTCGCCTGGCTCTGTCCCCAGGCGGCGCACTCCAGGACCCTCCATCCTGCGCTTCCGGCAAAGCCTCCAGACTCGGCGCGTCCCTTGGACACGCACTCCGCACTCAGGGCGGGAAACGTGGACTCCGGGGCCGGGGGAGAACCGCCCTTCACAGGGCGGTGCATTTTGCGCCTCCCGGCTTTTCTCCTCCCGTGTACCCAGTGACCTCGATTGAGACCATAGCTCACGCCCGTTTTGTGTCCCAGCGTTTTCATTTACTGTTGCACCATGGGAATTCCCTGTCATTCAGCATCACGTAAAGACATGACTGTTAGTGGCTGCTTGTTAGTTGAACAGGCAGATGCTCCATAAGCTATGTAACCCTTGGTTGGTCGTCGTTTGCCTCTTCTCTGTGGTGCTCATGCCGGCATCTCTATCGCCTCTGTGTTGCGTGTAGGAGGCGCAGGACCCTGGTGGGCCGCGGCGGTCTCGGAGCCTGCCGCCCTGGCCTGGGCGGGGGCGGCTCCTGCAGGGGGCGCTGGAGGGCGCGGCCTGCATCCCAGAGGCTCACCTCTCCCTCCTCCGCACAGTCCTACTGCTACAGGTACCGCTGCGCCGCCCGGAGCCAGAACACGCCCGACAGCTCTGCCTCCAACCTGGGATTCCGCTGCGCCGCTGACCGCCCGCCCGCCGCCGGCTAAGAGCCAGGAGCAGCCTTCCCAGGGCCCAGGAGAAGTTGTGGCTAACCCGTGTGCGGCTTCCCTCCGAGGGACAGGCCACCTGTGTGCAGACTCCCCTCGAGGTGGGGCCGCAGCTGCTTGCCGCCAAAGGAACCACCCGTGAGACCAAATCGCGTACCTGCATCAGCGCGCCCCACAAACAGCCTCTCTGGAGCCCGTTGCCCCGTTTGACTTTGTGGGGTGGAGGGAGCCGCAGCGAGGCCTCGGAGGCTGCGTGCAACCCAGGCTCCGGACGCAGGGTTCAGACCCCAGGGTCCCTTGGGGACCTGTCTGTCCAGGGAGGGGCCGCACGCAAGGCCTCCGAGGCTTCCACGTGCCAGTTCCATGACCATATCAGAGTCTATTGTGGTTTCCCAGTGAGAACTTATGACGGGTTATCTGTGAGCTATTTTTTTCCCATGTGTGAACCTTGGGATATTGTAATCATGTAAAATAAGAGTTCCCTTAGGGATTATTTTCAGAAGAGGACCGGGGAGGGTGGCCCTGACCAGTCTTTATAGTCACATGCACTTTGCTTTTCCAAGGAAATGCGTGTCTCTCCCATTGTTACGGCGACTCCTGCCGGGCGGCAGCGGTGGTTCGTGTTCAGCCCTGTGAACACACAGGACTGCCTGTGGGTGTCTCCACTGTGCTTTATCTTTTAACGTTAAGTGCCTTTGGCTCAGGGGGGCAGTTCCGAGGCCCCTCTCCCTTCCCCCCTCCCCCAAGCCTTCGCTGAATGTGAGACACGTGCTGCACGGGGAGACCTGCCAAACTCTGGGCACGGGAGGGCGGGGGCGGGAGCCGCGGACGGCCTGTGTCCGGGCGGCCGGTGTCTGCAAAGGGAGGTGGGGTCCGCGGGGCGGGGGGCGCAGACGCTTGGAATCGTGCACTCCCTGGAATAAACCGGTGTCTGCGAGTCGGCCTTCACTCGCCTCGGCTCCTTTGTGTCCCCCCACCCCCTCACCTTGTGGTTTCTGGTAAAGAAATGACTGGTGATACGATGTGTTTGCCAGAAAACTTTTCTGTCCATGGGCTGCGTGATAACTTTGACATGTGAGCCATTTGTGGGGATTTCTATTCTAAAGAGCAAAGCTTCCTGCCGGGACCCCCTGTGCCCCCGCTTCTTCGTGCCCCCAGCCAGGAGGCGGCATCAAGGGCTGCCCTGGCTGCAGCGTTCCCGCAGGGAGGGGTCCCGTCATCAGGATCCCGTCCTGGTCCCCCAGGCCACCAAGACCTGGGGGACGTTTCTACCTGTCAGTCGGAGGAAATGGCCCATCCTTAGGGCGGTTGTTCAGGAAGGCAGTCGATACGTCCTGCACGCAGCTAACACCTGGTCGCCGCTGCGTCTCGCTTCTGAGCATCCAGACATTTGTCTTGAGAAGCAGCTGTGCTCCTGGGCCGTTTTTCATTTATTAATCTGTCAGTGTGTGGATGTAGAATGTTTCCCTACAAACTTTCACCAATCGATGATTCATTCCAAGCAAAACAAACAAAAGAAGCATTTGCTTATTTGAAAAAACTAACGCAGGGAATAAGGTATTTTATTCTTCAAGCCGCCACTTGTCAAGCGGAGTTTCTGTTTCACTTGTTCCTTCCCACCTGCTTATATTTTTACATGGCTTTATTTTTGCTGTGCGTATTTTGGGTCCTCCTGTTAATTAGTGTTACATAGCATAAATATTTTGGAGTGTGTTTTGGCTTAGTCTTTAGAATTGTATTTTTAGTAGCAGCACAGTATTGGAAAGCATTTGTAGGTTACCAGCTACAGAGCGCAGCAAACAACAGACACCTCTCACCGCGCCCGGGCATTATTCATAGCGAGAAGGGACAGACCAGCCAAGTGGGCGTGTAATCTCCAGCCTCAGGGCCACGGATACATTCTTGGGAAACCTCGAAAAACGGGGGCCACAGGGAAGCGTTGGTGGGGGCTGGCACTTAAGCTTAAGGAACTTTGTAATGGGAGCAGGAACAAAAATAACAACGGTCCTGGTAAAACCCGTTGCTCCTTGAGGTGTCCGTGGGCAGCTGTAGCCGGCCACTCAGCCTGGCGGCCCTTTGCAGCCGTACGCCCCGGGGTCCCTGTTCCTTCTCCAGGGTGTGAGCCCTTGAAGGCATTTGCTTTTAGTGGAGACACTTGCACCAAGAGTAAAAGCCTGCAGGCTGGCAGACTTCTTCCTCAACCCGTTTTATAGAGGCTGGACTGTCTTTGTTAGTGTCTTTATCTGCGGCCTGTTTTTTTTGTTTGTTTGCTTTGTAAGGAGCTCTTACAGTGGGCCCCTGCTTCTAGCCCCTATTTCCTGCCCATTGAAGCAGGTGGGGAATTGGAGGTTTGTTTTCAAACCCGCCTCGGGCCTGAAGCCTGGCTGGTGTTCATTCTTTGGCGGGGGGTGTGTGCAAATGGGCTGAGTGAGAAGCAAGTCCTTTCTTCTTTTTTTTAAAGCCTCCTAAACATGATTAGAGGGGGTGGGGCTGGGCATACAGGAGGTGGCGGTCAGAGTGACCTATCCCCGTTGGGTGGGAGTTCACATCAGTGCCTCAAATTTCGTGTGGTTCAGCCTACAGCTTCAACTGGAATACAGAGCTGCACTAGTTTAGCCTTTTTTTTTTCTTTTCTTCCTCTGTCCTTTGTCTTCCTCCCTCCATCCCTCCTTTCCCTTCTTCCTTCTTCTTCTTTTTTTTTTTTTTTTTTTGGACAAGGCACCTGTGTTGTTCCCAGGACTGACCATTTCAGGAAGAGGAGGGCTGGAAGGCCGTTTGTTTGGGCTGGGCGTGGTGAGGTCCCGGCTTGCGTCCCGGACGGGCGGGCGCATTGGGTTTTCCTGAGAGTTCTGTCCTCAGCACACAGGAGGCAGGAGCCTTCCTGCATGAGAGCCTTGGATGCTAATCCCCCTCCTAATCGCCTTTGGGGGACAGATCATGGTTTTCAAGCCACACTTGTGTTATTGCCTTTGGGAAAACCCACAGTTGACTTCATGAAAGGAGCATTTAAAAAAAAATAAACACACTGCAATACAGATGTTTTCTGTTGTGAGACTTCAGGAAGTTCATGCGAGAGGCCGGCATGGGATTTACTTTTTCTTTAGAAAATGATGCTTTGCATGCATTTCTCTCTCCTTCCATCACATACGCGCCTTACCCGCGGCGCTCCTTCTCCTGGGGCGCCAATCTGCAGCAGCTCTCGGGTAGAAACGGGGGCATCGGCGGCCTGGCACCCGGGGAGTGGGCTGAGGGTGGGGCTGAGGGTGCGGGCATAGGCAGGACATGGGCGGGCACGCGCAACGCTGCTCCGCTGTCCCCGTGGCCGCCACGAGCTGCGGGCCCAGGGCAGCTTACTCGTCTCGTGTCCCAGAGCAGCGGCGGAGTGGCGTTTGCCCGTGAAGCCTCCCAAGCGTTTCATGCTGGCGACCAGCTCTGACGTGCCGACGCCAGGCTGGTGAGGGCCTCGGGCTGCGCCGGGGCCAGGCTCGGCCCGAGGCCGCCTTTGGCCTGGGTCAGGGGAGGCCGACTCAGTTCCCGCAGCGCAACAACGTGCGCGTTTTGGAAAAAATGACCGATGGGGTAAGTGACGTGCCAGCTCGGACTGTCCAGCGCAGGACAGGCAGGGCTGCCTGGGGCCGCCTCCTGGGAATGCCCTCCCGGCCCCACACCCCCGCGGCAGCCGTCCAGCAGGCACCGGCGCCTCCGCGGCACCGTTGCCTGTCCCGGTTCCTCAACCCGCCCTGTGGCGTCTATTGCTAAGTTGGCAGAGCGGTATCAGACAGCGGTGGAGGTGCCGGGTTCTTGACTCCTGGTTTCATTTCATTTATTAAAACTTAATTCCCTGCGATAAAAGCTACCCCAGGGCAGGCTTTGGTTTTCCAGGTCTGCTTGGTGCTCTCGGGGAAACGTGGCCTGTGTCGTTTTAAATGCTTAGCACCCCGTGGAAATAATGAACCCCGAGGGGCCCCTGTGGCGTGGCAGCCGGCCAGGGCCCCTCTTCCTCTCGCTCTTGCTCTCGGGTGGCGGCCACTCGAGCAGGAATTTAATGAACTTTTGATGAAGGGCCCCTCACAGGAAGGGGCCTGTTTAGGGTGCGGAGCTCGGGGAGGGCTCTCCTCCACCTGCAGAGCCACCCTGCTGCACGGGCGACTGCGCCGCTGCCCTCAGCCCCGGCAACTGGCCCCAGCTGTGGGTCAGGACGGCCTGTCCCGCAGTGAGGTGGCCCAGAGAGTGGCCCTCCCCCAGGCCTCGGCCACGTTTGACAAAGGCTCTGTTTTCTTGGCTGAGGGAATGGAAGACCCATCAGGTGGCTCGTTCTCACCTTGTCAGTTGGGCCCCGCATCAGGGTATCAGAAGGAGCTCCAATCGGGCGGGGGCGGGGGCGGGGCGGGGGGAGCTGCTCAGGAACTCTCTGCGGAAGTCAGATAAGCCGCCCTTGTCAGGTGGCGCTGATAAGAGGGTCACCTGCGTTTACTTTGGTCCTTGCAGGGGAAGAGCCCTTCGGGGTTGCTTTGTTGAAGCCCACACTTTTCCCCTGCAGTGGACACTTGCCAACTAACACATTTTATTTACTTTTCAATGACATGGAAGGAAGCCCCCGTAATCTCTGCAGTTGCTGTCCCTGGAATCTCTTTGATAGAGAGGGACTCTGCCAAAGGGCTTCGCCACCAGAGGCACACGGAGTGAGAGGTCCCCACCATTGCAGCCTGTGGGGGGGGTGGTGACAGGGAGGGGACCCCGCAGGTCACTGGCCTCTGCCCCCTTGGAGGGTGGTGGTACCATAAAGCCCACGAGAAAGGTCAAAATTACTTTCACGAAGCGACTCTCTTCCTCCTGGGGGACTTTGTCTTCACTTTGAGGTTCTGTCCCGCCTCTTGTCTCAGGAAACTCAGACCTCAGTGTTCGCGAGGTGCCCAGGGACGCGTCTGCACGGGGCTGAGCCAGGACCGACCACCTTGGCAACTTCTGTTCTCTCCACTGTGCCAGTGCACCCGGTGTATTGTGAGTTGGGGGCGCAGAGGGGTGGGTGGGAGAGGGAGGCGGTGGGACCGGCCTCCGGGCAGAAGGGGTCCGGGGCGCGGATGGGCGCATTTGATGTCAAGAACGCGGACCCCGGGGCCAGATGGTCTCGGTCTCAGTCCCTGTCCTACCACTTACTCACTTGCCAGCGTTGTGCCTTTGGGCCACTTGCTGACCCTGTTTGCTCCTGAGGTTTTGAAAATTAAGTGGAAATACTCCAAAGGGCAGACTCGAGGCTGGCGGGTAAAATCGTCGGCGTAGAATGATCCGCGTGTAAAACGTTGGCCTGCTCCATGTTCATCCCGAACTTTGAAGGTTGACGCCGTCTTTATTCTGAAGGTGCCAGGGAGGTAGCCAAGCTTAATGCTCAGATCGCCGGCTTTTCAAAAGGTCTGCTTCCCAATCCCCCCCCCGCCCTCCCCCCATGTACCACTTCTTTTTAAAAATGATTCTGTCTTCATAGAGAAGTGGAGTTTTTAGGGGTGAGGCAGGGAAGGCAGAAGCCTGGGTAAGTGGAAAGTAATGATGCTCGGAAGGTGCCCTATCGATCGGCTTCTTTGTCCCAGGTCCCGGCCCCCAGGAAGATGGCTGCAAACAAGGACCGCGATCACGTGTGAGGAATGGGAAAAAAAGGGTGCCCTGGACCCCTCTCTTTACATAGCTTCTGAAAAGCACAGGAAAGGGCTTCCCCGATGAGCTTGGCCCCCGGCCCCACGGAGCCCGGCTGCCGGTCCTCACTCCCCGCCTGGCGCTGCCGCTCGCTGAGAACTGGGCGCCACCGTGAAGGCGCCGTGTAGGCCGGTCCCTGACGCGGCCTTCGCCTCCGTTCCAGAACATTTGTGAATATTCCGTTAAGCGAGGAAGCAGAAACGGCATTCCCCTCTGTCATTTCAACCTTATGACTGAAACCTTTTGCTGCAGGACGTGCTGGGCAAGCCAGAGGCTGAGTCCCGCGGTGGCTGCTGTGGGCTGGGTGCTCTGGACAGCGTCCTCTGGAGCCGGCCCTGCGCCACCCGCTGCCCCTGGAGCCGTTCTTTCCGTGAGATGCCAACTGGGCTGGTTTTGTGTGCGATGTCTCCCTCTAGTGGCCAGATCGTTGTTTGCTGTTTTTGTACAAATGCTACCTCAAGTTGAAGAACCTTCTGTGTACGGGCACTGTGGCCTTGGGAGGGCTGGCGGGAGGGGAAGGAAAAGGGGTTGCAAACCTTTTTCCACAGGGAAAATGCTCCTGAAGTATGTCAGCTCTCATCTCTGGATTTTTAAAGAGCAGGCAGAGCTGGAGAATGTGGCCTGCAGAGAGGCCCAGAAAAGACCTCTGTCGTCATACTCGGATTATTTTCTGAATTTCTACTGCCTTTATTAATAATAATTAGGAATAGCTATCTGTCAAGCCTCATTACAGAACCATTGTTGCCTTTTTCATTGTAAGAACAATAAAATGCATAAAGTGAGAAACTCTAGAAAATGTGCAGACTGTCCTTCGAAGCCCTTTGCGCTGTGACTTCTGTCTGCTCCCAGGCCTTTGCCAGCAGGTAGCAGTGCTCACCAGCTGGCGTGTCTTCCCAGACTTTGTGCGTTTGCGAACGGAGGCTATACATGTGTGTACTGATGTAAAATACAGATTGTGTATAAATATACACATTGGCACACAGGAATCCTGGAAGAACATACTCTCTCCAAGTAGCTGAGCGAGCTGCCGCGAGCGCTAGCAGGGGCCGGCAGTCACAGCGCCTGCCAGCGGCCCCGCTGAAGCGGGCTCCCCCTGGCCTCGTCCAGCCCGCCGGCACCTCCCAGGACAGCGCTTACACACACCTCTGGAGCCCCGATTTTTGGAACTTTCCCCCAGGAGTCACTTAGATTGCCTGGTCTGGAGGCCAGCGGATTAATGATTGTGGTCCCACGGGAATGTACTGTATTTTGCCATGTATAATGAGCACCTTTTTTAGCCCAAAGTTGTGAGAGAAAAACAAGGATGCGCATTATACACAGGTGTAATGTTGGACATAATAACCCTGTGTATAACACACACATAAACGTGGGTGTGCATTATACACAGCAAAATACGGTATATTTTGAAAGCTGCTGCCTGAGCGCCTTGCTCCCAGTCTTGGTGCATCTTCAATATGGGGACCCGTCCAGAATAAAGCAGGCTGCTCAGACAATCCCAGAAGACGGAGAGACCCAGGAGCCAGGGCCAAGGCGGACAACGAGGTGTTTCTCCCCAAGGGTGCGGCCACGGGACTGGGAGGGGTGGCCGTTTCGCCCACCAGGAACACACACAGGGTCAGGCAAACTGAGGAAAGAGGACTATGTGCCAAACAACACAACAAGGTAACGCCTTAGGGAAAAAACCTTAATGAAATGGAGATGTGTAATTTACCTGATAAAGAGTTCAAACTAATGGTTGTAAAGCAGTTCACTGAACGTGGGAGAAGTGGAAGACCACAGTGGGAGAACTTCAGCGGGGGGAGAGAAAACACCAGAAAGCATCAAACAGAAGTGGCAGAGCTGAAGGGTACAGCCACAGGGCTGAAAAATGCACTGGAAGGTTTAACAGAGTAGATGAAGCCGAAGGAAGGAGCAGAGATCTGGAAGGCTGGGCAGTGGAGTTCACCCAAGCTGAGCTGCAGAAAGAACTTCAGAAAGTGAAGGTAGCTTAAGGGACCTACCAGACAACATCAAGAGGAAGAACGTCTGGGTTACTTTCAGTTTTTATTGTTAAAAAATACTCCAGTAAACCTAGCTGTACGTCCTTATATCTTGCCAGCTTATGCAGAGGTTTCTGTAGGGTAAATTACTGGGAGTCCAACTCCTGTATCAAGGCATATGGTTATTTCAATGTGTGATGGAGAGCGACAGCCCTCCCAACGGCTCTACCCGTTTACATCGCCCCCACAGTGTGCGTCGGCAGCTTTCAGTTTTGTTTTTGTTTTAATCCTCAAGTGAACCTGGAAACGACCAGGGTAGCTCTGCATAGGGGAGAGTCTTCGGCGGGGCTCAGGAGTGGCCGTCAGGGGAGGTGAGTGGGAGGGGACTCAGGCTGTCGTCCGGACTCGGCCCAGGAGCATTCCCAGCCCTTTGTGGCTGAGATTCAACCCTGGAGGTGCTACTGGTCCCATCTTGACTGCGCACGACTTCAGCCTGCAAAAGCGACTCACTGTTAATGAAATCAGTCTTCCGCAGTAGATTGTTTCCACGCCTCACCCCTGCCCGCAGCCCACAGGGACCTCGAAGCCGCCTGCAATTACCGACTTATTTTTGTCCGTGTGGTGTGGAGGTCTGGAGCCCCTCTCTGAGCTAAGCATCCTGGCCGTTCCCATGTATGGCTTGGCTGGGGATGCTTCTGACCTCACGTGCCCCTGAAGTTTAAAAAAGGAAAAAAATCATAGTCTGAAGGTCAGGAGCCAAACAAGGCCTAAGTGAGGCCCAGGACTGGATACGCTCAAAGCCCCCCTGTCATCCCCGAGCCCTGGGACCTGTCGCCTTCTGGGGGCTTTCGTGGCCTCATCTGTAAAGGGAGGGCCTGAGCGACGTGAGCGCGCTGTGGGCAGAGGAGGGGCCGGGGCTGTCGGGTGCGTGCTGCCCAGAGGCTCGGGGTGGCGGGGCCGCCCCTGGGAGTCCTCGGGGAGCCGTCTCGCGGGCCCTGTTCCTGTGGCGCTGCCTCTGCTGCCGTGGGCTCTCCTGGCTCCCTTTTGGAATGACACCGGCCAGCTGGGCGGAAGCGAGACTGAAAACGGGCATGCTGCCCATGGCAGGGACCTGCTGCAGAGCCTTCAGGGACCCTTTCCTTCTGGACAGCTGTCACCGGCGTCCCCGGATGAAGTGCCCAAAGGCGATACCAGCCAACTAAAACTAAGGAGCAGCCTCTGCTTTGCTGTACCTTTAAACAGCAGAAAGCTGAGCGAGTCCCGACACGCCTAAGCAGGAGCGGGCCAGTGGTGAGTGCCTTGTAACTGCTGGCCACGTGACCGGAGCTGCTGACGTGTGTGGAACAAAGGACCTGACGCCCCCTGCTGGCAGCCTCTCGGTGGCACATGGCCTTTGGCTTACCCTTGGCACATGCTTTCTTTGCTGAGACCATGGGTTTTGCACCGTTAGCTTGGAGCTTTGGCACTTTCACGTCCCATAATGCCCGCAGGACTCTGAGGACCCGGTTGGCTTTGTAACGAGGGGCACGTTACTACCTATACCCGTATCTGTCCTCAGAGGGACACTATTACTTAATGGCTACGCTGAAACTGCAGTGAAGGGTTCCAGCTAGTTTCTTCTGACTTAGAAAAAAGCGGGAGCAGCATTTGTCCGCACCCTTGATGTTCTGTGGCAGTGTTGGGGCGGGTGGGGGGGAAACGGGGTGTGGAATCAGCCGCAACCCAGAGGCGGCGAGCTGAGACGATACAAAGCCGACGAGAGAACTTGGAAACCACAGGGCCTCCTGCACTGGGGCCGAATGGACTCAGGGAGGGTATTGATTGATTTAATTTATTAAATAACACTACAGTATAGGGCCCAATAAGTCATTTTAGCTTTCAAAGGGTCTCATAAACCTCCATAAGTAACTTGTTTTTGCCGCATCCTTGCTTTGAAAAAGGAGCTGAGAGGCGTTTGCCCCCCAAGGAGTTTGAGTGGGATGCCGAGACTGCATGCCCTTCGGTGGCGGTGCCAGGCCTGTGGGGCTTTCATGTCGCTGGCACGAGAAGAAGCGAGGTGTGTGGAGTTGGGAGCACAGCCACGCGTGCAGAGGGAATGTCACAGTTTGTTCCCTCCGGTGACTCTTGGCCGTGTGCACGCGGCAAGGCCCAGGGTCCCTGATGAGAGTCAGTCATGCCCTTCCCTGGGTTCCTGCTCAGAGACAGACGGACAGCTACCATCATGGGTCGCACGGAAATCCAGCCGTCGGCTTTATTACTGGTAAAACGGGCTGGGAGGCAGGCGTGTGGCCACTGGGGTTCCCTCGGGGCCATGATGATGCGGCTAGAAGCCGGCGGAACAGTGGGAGAGGCCGTTTCTCAGCCGCAAGTCCTGAGGACCTGGAGAATGCACCGTGGGGCCTGGCACCTGCGCTCTTTTTGTTCACTTGCGGGGCGTGTCTTGTGTTTCCAAGGTGATCTTGGGGTGTAGGGTGGCTGCTCCAGCCCCAGCGGTCACGCAGACATCCCAACCAGCAGGAAGGAGGAGGGGTCAGGAGGGGAAGGAGTCTCCCCACCCAGCGAGGACTCACCGGTTTTGCTCGCACCTCATTATCTAGAACCCAGCCTGCCGTATCTAACTAGGAAAGGGCCCCAGTGTTAGCGGGAGGCCATGTAACCAGCTAAAAGTGGAGAAAGCCATCGTGCACGGGGAGAAAGGTGAGCCGGGTGGCCCGTGGCCTCGGCCACAGCCCTGGGCTCGACTCGCCAGCTGGGCAGAGCGGGGCACACAGCCCGGCCTCCCCGTGGGCAGGGGCTCACCCCAGCTGCGCTGTCCTCCCCCGCTCCCTTCTCTCCGAGAGGCCAGGAGCGCGTCTCCTACGCTTTTCCTCCCTGACTCACGTGTGGCGGTGGCGGTTCCTGCTCTGGGGCGCAGTACAGGGAGCCATCGTAGGGCAGGAAGGCAGCGCACGCTTTGGAGCCACAGTAACAAGGCTTTCTTAGCTTCCCGTTGTCTGGCCGTTCTCCGTCTTCGCCATCCATTTGGTTAAGAAATCTTCCTGAATAGTCGTAGGAGAGTTCTTCTTCGGGCAAAATGTCTTTGGCTGCAAAAAGAGCCAACCTCGGCACCATCGAGTCAACCCGGACGGGGACCATGAGCAGGTTGGGCTCACAGGAATGGTTAAGGAATCTCCCGACATTTCCAACATGGGCAGGATCCACAAACGTCTCCATCACCTGCCCATTGGATGCGTGCTCCCGGACAGCGATGATGTAGTTCGCATCGCGTGGTGTTTGCAGCCGAATTCTCCTCCGCGCTTCTGAGAACCCCAGCACCTCCCCGGCATACTCGCAGACGAAGCGGCCTCGGGGAATGAACTCCAGGGTGCGCAGTCCCCAGCCCTTGCGGCGCGTCCTGAACACCTGCAGCCGCAGCTGCACGCCTCGCTGCACCACGCGGTTGGCGCAGTGCTCCGGGCACTGGCACAGGGCGTTGCACTCGAAGATGGGTGGGGCGCGCCCGGCCACCGAGCCCAGGAGTTGAAGGCGCGTGTCTGCGTCGTAGTTCTCTGCCTGGCGGAGGCAGGTGCAGGCGCCAGGGACGCAGGGGCGGGACCGACAGAGGCAGCCGGGGAAGGTGATCTGCGCAGGGTCCACGTCGGCCCCGGGCCCGGCCACGTGCGCGGGCGTGTACTGCAAGACCAGAAACAGTGTGTCAGCGAGGCAGGTGGCGCAACTCGCGGGCCCTACCAGCAGTTTTGGGCGCGCCATTTCTCGTTCCTACACAGGTAAAAACAGGCCAGAGAAACTCACAAAACCCAGCATGATAAAATACTGTCTGAACACATAACTCCAAATCCTGTGGTTTCCTTTTAGATATAGGAAAAACAAGAAAAATTTTTTTTTGTCCTATCAGAAATTGAAAACCTTGTAAGCCATTTTGTTTTCCTCTTAGCCTTGTATGTCAGGAAAATCAATGCTGAATTTAGCACTGAATTATCCTTGGCTTTTGATCTTTTCACACTTACAATACAAATGCATGTACGTACTTCTACTGTGAGTTGCCTCAGATCCTTTTGTGGAGATAAGAAAATGAAAATAAGAAAGAAATAAAAAATGGCCTTGGGAGAATATCCCATTGATTTTTTTAAAGGAATTTTTTAATGTAAAGATGATCTAAACTCTTAAATATTCTCTGATGTTTTAAAACAACACATTTCAGTTGTACTTGAATCTTCACAATGTTAAAAACAGGCATTTGGCCAAGAAATAGAAAAAATTCCAGAAATTGTACTGGTTGCATAGATATTGATACTTACCTCTATTGCAGATATGTCCATGTAAAGAAATCCTCTTCTTAGTGAGAAGGGGAGAATATGAAAAAGTTTCTTGGTCTTTTAAATGCACCTGTATTTTCAAAATCTTATATTTATAAACTGTTACAGAAAAGGAGGCAAATCCTAAGTCTAAGGTCTCTCTCTGCAGCCTGGGGCTCCGGTTACTTCCTGTATCTGGGTGGGCTCTCCTGGCATTTGAATAACACGACCCCGTCCTCAGTGCCAGGCACTTCATACTTGTAAAACTGTAGCCGCCTTCAGTTCTTCTAGATTTCACACTTAAAACATCATATATTTCTGGCACATGATTTAATCTCCCAAAACACTTCCTTTCTGTCTCACAGGTTGCTGTGGAGGAAAGAAGGAGAGAATCCACGTACAATGCTTCCTCTAGTGGCTGGCCGCAAAGTGTTCTCTGTGAGTTTTGCAGGGTGGTACAAAAAACAGGGTCTGGAGTTAAACTTCTTAGGTTCAAACGTACTCAAACATGCGGGGACTTAGGGAGAAGCACTCAGGAAAATACAGAAGAGGGCGTTTTTTAAGTCATTTTTTGTATTGACATAACATACGCTCTGCCTTTTCCTGGTATGTATCAAAGTGCAAGATGGATTGTGCAAGAGTTGGGAACAAATGCAAAATGCTCAGCGCACAACGAAAGCCAGGTTCTTGGGGCTCTTTCCTGGGGGCCTCATGTCACCCCTGCTTCCACCCTTCAGGGAACTGCCAGTCTACAGGCAGGAAAGAGGAATACTCTCCTTAACGTCACTGTGGAATGTTAACAGACACCAGAAACTAGACACTTGAAGATCTGGGTAGAGGTTTCAATTATTTTGTCAGAAAACATAAGAGAAAAAAATTTGTTTATAAACCACGGTCACCCAAGAAGCCAAAATGTAGACAGGAGACAGCATGTTGAAGAGCAAATGTACCTCCTTGGCTCTTCTCATGTGCTATTTCTCCCTTCTCTGAACTGACCTGCACTTAATAGCACGAACTTCAGGATCAACGTGGCATATGCTGCAGGGCTCTCAAGTTGTATTAAATGTGGGGGCCTTGTCTTCAAAACAAATGTGTGTCTCAGGAAAGGCCTGGTCGTGGGGTCTGGGGTGCGGCGGCCAGGTGAGGGGTCAGGTTCCTATCCATAGCACGAGGCATGGAGCAGGTGACTCAGGAAGTATTTCGTGATTGCTTGATTGAAGCTCTTGATAACTTCTGATCAGAGGTCTGACTTAGATTCTGAGTCTCTTTCTGTACTGAGACCCTGGAACATGACGTCCAATACCACACCATACCCTGAGCTGAAAACCTAGGCCTTCGTTTTGAATTTTACGGAAGTGCTGTGAAAATCTTCATTCCTTTTTTGGTTGTTTGAAACACCAGCTACAAGAACTTTGTACTTGGCCTCTAGCCCTGTGAGTTTGTTTTTGCTCCAAGCAGCTAGTAGGAGACTGAGCCAGATAATTCTTTCCAAGGCCAAGTTGAGATCTTAAGAAGGATGTTTGAAGCTGGTTTCAGGAACCTGAAAAATGGCTAGATCCAACTCTTAGTTCAAGAAAATTGATTAGGTTTTTTTTTCTACTTAGGTTTCAATTCCCATGGCATTACAATATGCTTGTTTCCAGGCTGAACACTTGAAGGTTCTTTTTGCCTTTTCATACAGTTCTCAAAAGCGAACTAGACACAAAGTTATTTTTAACTTGAGTTTTTCATGCCTGAATTCTTATGTGTACACATGCCTGTGAAGGCGGGGTCTGGGGAAAACAAGCTCTTTGACCTATTATAAGCCTGGCTTTTTGTGCTCCCTGAATCTACGTAAGTGAACTCGTTGGAGGCACTTTTAGGCTTGTCATTTAACTCTTTCAGTCATGCTTTATCTTCTTGGTAAGACTACAAGCTCCCTGGGGGAAGAGCTCACACCTTCTTTCTGTAACTCCTGCTCCGCACAGAGCCAGGCACAGAGCCAGGCATCTGGAACGCTGTGGGCTGAGTCTGTCTCCTGATTTCTATTTATGCCCACAGTGTTAGGGAACAATCACGAGGCGTCCTCCCCTCCCCCCTTTTTATAGCAATGAAGTGCTTTCTGTCCTATCCTGTAAACTCAAGGAATTGTGTCGTCACCACCTTACATGCCTAGTTTTCCATGGTGCCTTGCACCTTATAGGCACTCAATTATCTGTTGAATAAAGAGAACATAACATCTCAGTGTTTTTGACCAGGCATTCTGCAAAGTTTGGTTTTGAATAAACTTTTGGGGATCAGTGTTTAATAAGCCAAACTTATTGTAGCTGTAACTGCCTAAGGTAATTTGAAGAAAAAGTCATTTCTGATACTGACATTCTGCTCTACTCTTGAAAATGGCCACTGAGTTCTGCTGTCTTATTTGATCCTCAAACAACTCTAGGAAGCAGGGAGGATAGACAGCGTTCTGTACTGATAATGGATGTGACAAGAGCTATACGTTTTTAATTATTTTCATTTTGTAGATGAAGAAACACAGGATCCGAGAAATAGCTAAGATGGCTAAGGCCTGAACCTAGCCCTCCTACCTCCAGGTTCAGTGCTCTATCCACTCCAGCATCCTTGTCTTTTTTTCGTTTTTGGTCATTTCCTATTCCTTAGACAACATGCAGGCCAAGGTCAGAGGGGTGAGAACGGTAGAAAGGGCTTTGAGGCAGTAATAGTAGTGAATGTTACTAAGTGGCTTCGGCAAACCAGGAGCAGTATTTTACTTGCAATTCTCCAAGCAACCTGGGGGAGAGGTACTGTTGTTTTAATTGTACGCGGGAGGACTCCCAGGCTTACCGGAGGCTGGTTTATTTCTGCCCACGGACTCACAGCAGGGCAGAGGCTCGGCTGAGTGTGACTCAAGGGGCCAGGTTTTTAACCACGACACTTGGCTGAGGTCCGTTAATAGGACCTGTGCCTCCCCTCGCATATGAGACACCTGAGACTCAGTGAGTTCTGGGGACAAAACCAGGACAGAAAGCCAGGTTCTTGGGGCTCTTTCCAGAGAGCCTCATGTCACCCCTGCTTCCACCCTTTAGGGAACTGCCAGTCTACAGGCAGGAAAGAGGAATACTCTCCTTAACGTCACTGTGGAATGTTAACAGAAAAAGACCAAAACCCATGCTTTTGAGTTATTCCTGCCCACAAACAGCTGTGCAATGGGGTTAAAAAAAAAAAGTCGAGAAGTTTGGAGAGCACCTGCCGCACGAAAGTGGTCCGCAAAAGTGCGACCACGTGGGAGCTGAGCGCATAGCACGCGCCGACATCTAGTCCCGCCCCCGACCTGCCGGGCGCTAGCCCCATCCCAGTCGCTGCGCGCGCAGCGCCGTGGCCGAGAAGCCCCGCCCCAAACAGGAGAATGCCCGTCATAGCGCGCGCTGCTCTCTAGTAGGCTGAGCCCCGCCCCCTACCTGGAAGGGCTCTGGCCACGCCCCCGGGGGCCACACGCTCACAGGCACGTCCTCCAGGCCGCACGCGATGTCCAGGGGCTCCGTGGAGGCCTCAGGCTCCTCCTCAGATGCGGCCATCCCGCAAAGCTGCTCCGCCCCGGCACTGAGCGCCTGCGCCGAAAGGAGCAGGGGCCTCGCGGAGCCTGCTGGGGGTTGTGGTCCTGCCGCCCCACCGCCTCATGGGAAATGTAGTTTTCTCATTTCTCGTCAGAAGTGACCTGTGAGGCCAGGCTCGCCCTGTTTTGAGCCAAATGCACAACAAATAATGCCAAACCGTTAAGGTACGGACGAAGCTTTGGGACACAAAATGAAGTGCTTAAGTTTTTCCCGTGAGCCTCAGGGCGGGCTTCAGAGGCGAGGGCCTGGGTCCCGGCATCGGAGGGCCTCGAGGTTTTGAGGTGGACACGCTGGCGGAGGGACCCCATCTCGGAGCGCGCGAACACCCGGAGCTGGCAAGGCGGTCGGGCGGCGCGCGCCAGGGCTCGCGCTCGGTTGGCGGAGCGGCCTGATGGGCCCCTCCCTGAGCGCGGCGCGCGCGCCGTGTCGCCCCGCCCCCCGCCGAGGCTGTGTCCCCGCAGTCGCTGGGTCCGCGGCACCGGGTCAAGCGTCCCCGAACGCCGCTCCGTGGTCACGCTGCTCCTCCGGGAAGCCGCTCTCCCTCTTTCCCCTGCCTCAGTCTCCCGGCGGTGCCCGGCCCGTACCCTTGCTCAGCGTCGCCGCCTCGGGGACGGCACCTGCTCCCGCGGCCTCGGACCCTAGTGTAGAGCATAGGTCTCCGGCCGGCGGCCTCGGCGGCTCTCGGGCGTGTCCGCCTCCTGTCCGCCCGGCGCCCCAGCGCCGTCCGGAGACCGGCCGCTGTCCCTCTGCGCACCTGCCCTTGTTCCTTCATCGTGACCCGGGCGGAGATTCACCCGGTTCCAGAGGTGCCGAGCCTCCCCTGCAGCCTTTCCTCGCGGCGGACGCGGCGCGCATCTGGCTAACCTTTCCCAACGGCGTCCATTTTCATTGCTCCCCACTTAGCCTCTCCTTTGTTGCCTGGACTCTTCATACAACTTTTATTCTTTCATTCATTCCTTCCTTCATTCATTCCCAAGGCTCCCGGGAGGATGCACGTAGAGTGACTAGGCCCCGTTGCTTAACATCGCGTGTGCGCGCGCGTTTCCCTCCGAGCCCACCTTCTGCTTCCCTCCGAGGCCCTTGCAGATCCGAGCCGACCGACCTCCGGTCTCTTGCTCTGTTTGCCTTTCCTCCGCGAGCCCTGCCCCTGGGCCTCCGGGCCTGTGCCCGCGTCTCCCTGGCCGGCAACTCGGTCACCCTTGGCTCTGGGTTCCTTGCCGCTGGGCCCGCCGCTCCGCGCCGTGTGCTCACAGGCAAAGCCCTGTTGAAGCCATAGAAATTATACTGGGGAGGAGGCAGGGAGAGAGACACATTTGTTTTAACGTCAATCATTTTGCTACATTTATTTGCAAGTCCGTTGATACAGGCCCAAGGCCTTTGGCGGCTGCTGCTGCTTGTGGTGTGTGAGCCCGCCGATTTGAGTTCCACGGCCGGGCTCTTCGGAATCGAGCGGAAACACGGGGGAGCCGTCTGGCCCCGCCCCGCCCCAGTGTTACATGTTTTCTTGCACGGACTTCAAGGGCAAACATTTTTTAATGACTTATGGGGTTTTTTTTTTTTCTTCCCAAGTCTTTCCAGAGCGTTTCACTTAGCTTTCCTGGAGGGGAGACACTAGCACACGCGTTGTTTTCCACGGTCTCCTCAGGTGGATCGCAACAAGGTGTACCTGTCGTTAACAGTGCCTCAGCTCCGGGCCGTGACGGGCCACCACAGGCTGGGTGGCGTGCACAGCGGACGCCGAGCTCTCACAGTTCTGGGGGTGGCAGTCCCAGGTCGGGGTGGCCGCGTGGCCGGGTCTCGGTGGGGGCCGTCCTCCTCGTGGGCGGCCGGCTTCTTTTATCTGCATGAGGGGGAAACAGAGAGCAGGCGAGCGCTCTTCCTCCGCTGACGGGGACACTGAGCCCACCGTGGGGCTCCCCGCGGTGACCGAGTTCCCGCCCAGAGGCCCCAGCGCCGAGCGCCGCCGCAGCAGGACGTCGGCCTGCGGGCTTCAGAGCGGCAGCGTCGGTCCGTAGCGCACAGGTGTGGAAACGCCGCGCCAGGCTTATCGTGCGTCCGTGGGCAGGCAGGGGAGGGGCCTGCGTGGGCATGAAGTGCGCGTGTCTGAACAAAACCCACTTTGGAGAGCAGGTGTAGAGAGGAGGACAGGGAGTGGGTTCCACGGAGGAACGTGCCGGAGGGTCTGGGGTCGCCGGTCCCCGACCGTGGGCAGCGCCGGCGAACCTTCGCCGAGGCCTGTTGTGGGCAGACACCCATTGGACGTTACATGCAGCCATTTAATGTCCACGATAAGCTACTTGAGACCTTCCTGCACTGGCCCCCCAAGGGTCGTTTGCCTTCAGCTGCCGGCGCGGCTCCAGGACTCTGAGGGGCCTGCGGGGGCCTGCGGGTCGCTGCGCGGGTCACAAGGCTGCCCCAGCGGCCTTCGCCCTCCCAGAGGACGGCCCGACGCGAGCGGCGGAGACGCGCACGAGTAGGGTGTGGAGCGCGCGGACGGAGCAGGCGCAGGCCTGTGAGAGCCTCGGGCGTGCGGCCCGCGCCCAGCGACTATTTTATAGGCGTGGCTATGGGCGGGCCGCCCTCCTTAGGAGAGAGCCGCGCGGCGGGGCGGCCGCCGCCGGACGTCCGGGGTGTGAGGGCGGGTTGGGGGCGGTGCAGGGGCGGTGGCGGCGGGGGCGTCACCTCTGCGGGGAGAGCGGGGAGCGTCTGGGCCAGGCCGTTCGCCCTGGGCCTGGAAGAAGAGCGGGCGGATGGGACGGCGGGAGGCGAGGAGAGGGCGCCCCAGGCAGAGGGGGCGGCGGGCGGTGGGAGCCGAGGTAAAGGTGTGCGCCCGGGAGAGAGTCCCTTCAGACTGGCTGCAGCTCAGGATCCTGTCGTTTCTCAGGGATTGGAAACAGTGAAGGCATCTCACAGGCCAAAGAACGCGCTGTTCTCTCACGTTGTGAGGGGTTTTTGAACGCCGGTTACGTGGCCGGTGCGGCTTTTACTGATTTGGGGGATGTGCCCGTTGGGAAGGCCCTCGAGGCCAGCCAGTGCCTGCGCGCCCGCTTTCACGAGAGCTGTAAGAGCTGCGTGGAGAAGCAGCGCCGGAGCAGCGAGGACGCCGCTCTCAGCCTTTGTAGAGCGTGACGCTGTTTTCATTCTTTGACTCTTGCTTGGTTGTATTGTCTGCCCTTCGGAGAAATGTTCTGAACGATCCATTTTGTTCTATTTTATGTTTTCTGCGCAGTGATGGTACTCCCGGCGTAAGATCTTCAGTTCATAGCAGACCTTCAGTTTAATTTTTTTTTTTTTTTTATCTTGCTGGCCAAAAATCCCAAAAGTATTTTATGTAGTGTGAGATTAGAATTAGAAGAGGGTGTCTGCGGGCCGACAGAACCAGTCTGCAGAGTGACGAGCGTCGGACTTGCGTCTTCCCCAGGCCTCAAGCCTCCCCTGTCTCCTTCGGACGCTGCTCGTCACAGGCCAGAAGCCTGGCTTCTCCCAGTTTGTTCTGAGAGCCCTTCGAGCCAACGGGGGAAAAATGTTTCCCTGGATGCCCGTGAGTTGACCAAGCTGAGTGCTGTAAACAAGTGAACAAGCCTTGGATCTGAGTGTTACATGGCCTGTTCACGTTTCCTTCAGCTTTTTCTGTGGCGGAAGAGAAACTAATTTGATCAGTAATAAAGAAAAAAAGCAACACAGTAAAACTCTCACATTTTACAGGTTCAATTATCTTTGGCTGAATGATGGGTATGATTACGCGATGCCATTTTTTTAAAAACAAAAATGGCCTTAAACTACAATGTTTTTCTTTTGCCTTTTTTTATTTTTTTAATTTTGCCAGTGCTTTAAGAGAAGTTCTGCGTGATTTTTCATCCAGAAGCCATTCTTTCACCAAAGTCTCACTCGCACAGTCCAAGCTGAGCCTGGGTTCTCTGTTACAGGTTGTTAGCGGGAATGACGGCATGATGGGAAGGGTCGGGGGCATCTTAGCTCTTCAGGGGTGACCATCGCTGCTCGATGTGAAGTATGCACAATGTGAGTGCTGTGTCCCGTCATCAAACAACTGTGTGTAAAAGAAATCATTTTGCAGGGAACAAAGCACAGTAGTTGATACATTTGGGATCGTCAGTCCGATGGCTGACTGTCTGCTGAGAACACGCCAGCCCCCGCACCGCCCGTCACAGGGGGTGAGCTCACGCACAGCCACTGTGTCACACAATCCTCCAGCCTTAGCCGGTGCCTTTGACCTCCAGGGGCACATCTGAGCCGCGCCAGGCCAACCCGAGTCTCTTGGTGAGAGGCGAGGCCAGAGAACAGCTGCGAACGGCACATATAACCTGGGGGCTGAGTGGTAGCTTGATTCGGGATATTGATGGAGAAGCAGATAAAAGTCAATCTTCTGAGAGAAAAATGAAACAGGTGACAGAGAGAGGGCTTCTTAGTTTCTGACACCTGTCCCTTGTCAGCTCCGGTTCCTTTTTGACTCAATGACATATTTGTATCGTATGAAAATTTCCCTTGGGTTTAGGTTAGCTCAGTGTGATTTCTATTCTTTAGACAAAGAATTTTGACAAGCGAAAATGATGAAATTATTACCATTATTATTATTAGAAAGTGTGGGCTGGATAATCAGCTACTGTGCAGAGTTAGTTGATATCTACGAATTTTCTTCCTTTTAAAAGTTGGTTAAGTTATATCTTTTTAAAAGTTGGTAAGTTTTTTTTTAGCACTTTTCTGATGTGTCTTCACTGAAGAATGCTTCCTCAAAATAATAGGAAGAGAAATTTATATAAAAAATAGTAAAAATAGGATATTTCTACTCAGTGGAAAAGATTATACTCTAGTAATAATAAATAATAGTTATATTACACATGATATGTGCCTGGTATTGTAAAAAGATAGCAAAATAGAAGTTAATTGGACAGGAAAGTGTCTTTTTAGTGGCTGAAATTTTATGTCACTGTTTGGCATGTGGATTGTTTGACAATAACAAAAAATATATGGCAACTGATTAAAGTAGCTTGAGTTGTATTTTACAAAATTATGATCCT